GTCATAAAAGTGCCAAGGTTGCCTATCTCTGGCCTAGGCCGCTTTATGACTCGTGGACTTCAATTCCCAGAATTCCTGAGCTAGCATGGCTTAGCTTGGAAACCTCTCCCTTTCCCCTCAGCGTGGCTGGCTCAGGAATTCTGGGAGTTGAAGTCCGCGAGTCATAAAAGGGCCAAGGTTGCCTACCCCTGTACTGAGCAGGGGGTTGGACTAGATGACCTCCAAGGTCCCTTCCAACTTTTTGATTATTATTCTTATTCTTAAGCTTCCTGGATGAGAAGTGAAACGTCTTCAAGGAAAAAAACATAGAAAAGTCCATCCCTGGAGATTTTTCAAGAGATTGGACAGCCATTTGTCTGAAATGGCATAGAGCAGTGGTGGCGAACCTATGGCACACGTGCCAGAAGCGGTACTTGGAGCCCTTTCTCTGGGCACACGTGCCATTGCCTGAGCCTCGCCTCCCCCCACGACCCCACCAGCAGCCCCTCTGGAGGAGAGTCACCCGAGAGTGTGGCCCACATGAAGCAGTGCAGCCAAGGACATGGCAGCCAGGCAGCGTGGACAAGACTCTGCCCTCATGCTCCATTGGGCACAGTTGATGCTGTGGGGCACGGGCAGAGGGCATGGCTGCCATGGCACTGCTGGGCTGCCTGGGCGATCTGTGGCGGGCCATGGAGGTGGTGAGTGGCCCTGCAGGCAGGCAGGGCTGGGGGTGGGCTGGGTCAGAGCAGGGCTGGGGCCAGTTTTTGGGCACTCGGTCTCTAAAAGGTTCACCATCACTGGCATAGAGACTCCTGCTTGAGCAGGGGGTGAACTAGATGACCTCCAACGTCCCTTCCAAGTCTGTGACTCTATATCGTTATTATATTATTCTATCTTCTGAAAACAGGTAGTCCTCGACCTACAACAGGGCGCTTAGTGACCGTTTGAAATTACAGCCAGCTTCTCAAAGGCTACTTCAGTGGTTCTCAACCTGTGGGCCGGGACCCCATTTGGGGTCGAACGACCATTTCACGAGGGTCGCCAAACAATGCAGTCCGCCATTTTTCCCCCTTTTCCTTGGCTGTGCTGCTCCCTTTTATTCTGTTGGCTTTTGAAAGCCAATAGAATAGACTCTCTTGAATAGAGTCTAATTCTATTGGCTTTCCAAAGCCAATAGGAATTGTCCAGGCTGTCTCTGCCCTGCTGAGCCCGCCAAAAGTCCCATTCTGCAAACGGTGCTGCACCAGTTGAGTAGTCCTCGACTTACGACCGGTTGAGAAGTCCTTGACTTATGACCGGTTGGGGGTCACGGCATTAAAAAGGTTGAGAACCACTGGGCTACTTGCAACTCGGTTTCAAAGTTACGACAGCTGCCGTCACTCACTCTGACGACCAAGTGCAGGGATGCTCCAGGACTCTCACCCACTTATCCCGCTGGGTACCCGGGTACCTTCATCCACGCAAATCAGCTGGAGCTCGGAAGCCGAAGAAAGGAAGGAGAAATGGAGGGGGTGCCCACACGCCCCAGAAACGAAGGAGGTTCCCACTCAAGCGGGCTTGCTCCAGGGCCCAGCTAACTTGCCTTTTTGATTTTTAAGCTTTGGAGAGAGAGACACCTGGCCCTGCAGGATCAGGTTTTTTTTTTTAACCCTGTGGCAAACTTCGGTAATACTTTGCAACAGGATCACGGATCAAATGACCCTGTTGCAAAATAGTACAGGAGTCAAAAGTCGATGAACCCCTTGCAAAATTTCCGATTCTCACCAATTCTTTGACTCTTGTACGTCGAAAGATTACCTGTATTGTGGTTGACATCTTGATTTTAATAATAATAATAAAGTTGGAAGGGACCTTGGAGGTCATCAAGTCCAATTCCCTGCTCAGGTAGGTAACCCTATACCAAATGGCTGCCCAGTCTCTCCTTAAAAACCTCCAGTGTTGGAGCATTCACCACTTCTGGAGGCAGGTTGTTCCACTGGTTAATTGTTCTCACTGTCAGGAAGTTTCTCCTTAGTTCTAGGCTGATTTTCTCCTTGATTAGTTTCCATCCGCTGCTTCTTGTCCTGCCTTCAGGCGCTTTGGAGAATAGCTTGACTCCCTCTTCTTTGTGGCAGCCCCTGAGAGACTGGAACACTGCCATCATGTCCCCCCTCGTCCTTCTCTTCATTAGAATAGAATAGAATAGAATAGAATAGAATAGAATAGAATAGAATAGAATAGAATAGAATAGAATAGAATATGGAATAAATAGAATAGAATAGGAGCTGGAAGGGACCTTGGAGGTCATCTAGTCCAACCCCCTGCTCAGGCAGGAAACCCCATACCATTTCAGACAAATGGCTGTCCAGTCTCTTCTTAAAAACATCCAGTGTAGGAGCATTCACATTTTCTGGAGGCAAGGAGTTCCACTGGTTAATTGTTCTAACTGTCAGGAAGTTTCTCCTTAGTTCCAGGTTGCTTCTCTCAGACACAAAACAAAAGGAATCCTGGACAATCTCTAACTCTCTGCCCAGCCCAGGAAGAAATTCTTTTTACTTTTCAGCACAGATGGCTCTGATTCATTCAAAGTCACGGGGAAAGGCTGTTGCGTAATTTCACTGGAAATCTTATTTGCAGCCCTCTCCTTGTTGGCACCCTGACTCAAGTGTTAAGCCACCAAAGTTCATTCTCAAATGCAGGCTAATATTATGGAAGACTTCAACTGCATTTTTTTTTTTCCTGGCTAGTAAAAAGTTTTCCCAGCTTTGGGCATTTCATCCCAGTCATTTTCACTATTAAACAATTAGCAGTGATTAATTGTTAAGAATTGAAACTGTTTGCTCATTTGCCTAAGGCAGGGGTAGGCCACCTTGGCTCTTTTATGACTGGTGGACTTCAGCTCCCAGAATTACTGAGCCAGCTTGGCTCAGCTTGGAAACCTCTCCCTTTCCCCTCAGCGTGGCTGGCTCAGGAATTCTGGGAGTTGAAGTCCACCAGTCATAAAAGAGCCAAGGTTGCCTATGCCTGATCTGGGACTTCAACTCCCAGAATCCTCTAGGCCAGGGGTAGGCAACCTTGGCTCTTTTATGACTCATGGACTTCAACTCCCAGCATTCCTGAGCCAGCCACACTGAGGGGAAAGAGAGAAGTTTCCAAGCTGAGCCATGGCCAGCTCAGGAATTCTGGGAGTTGAAGTCCACGAGTCATAAAAGAGCCAAGGTTGCCTACCCCTGCCCTAGATGACAGACAGACCACTGACCAACCAGGGATAGGCAACCTTGGCTCTTTTATGACTGGTGGACTTCAACGCCCAGAATCCCTCAGCCAGCATGGCTCAGCTTGGAAACCTCTCCCTTTCCCCTCAGCATGGCTGGCTCAGGAATCCTGGGAGTTGAAGTCCACCAGTCATAAAAGAGCCGAGGTTGCCTACCCCTGGCCTAGGATGAAGATTAAGAGCAGGGGTCTTCAAACTTGGCTCTTTTATCACCCGTGGACTCCAACTCCCAGAATTCCTGAGCCAGCCATTCTGAGGGGCAAGGGAGCCCTCCAAGCTGAGCCAGGCTGGCTCAGGAATTCTGGGAGTTGAAGTCCACGGGTCATAAAAGAGCCAAGGTTGCCTCCCCCTGGCCTAAGGTAACATCTTAATGGGTTGTGGGTTTTTTTTTTTACACACCCTGTCAAATTTCAGCAGAGACAAGTCACTTGCTCTCAGATCCCAGACTCCCAATACAGGTAGTCCTCAACTTACGACCAAAATGGAGCCCAGGATTTCTGTTGCTAAACAAGACAGTTGTTAAATGAGCTTGGTCCCATTTTATGACCTTCCTTTCCACAGCAGCTGTTAAGCGAGTTGCTGCAATTGTTAAATTAGTAACACACTTGTTAAGTGAATACCTCCATTGACTTTGCTTGTCGCAAAAGGGGATAATGTGAACCTGGGACGTTGCGACCGTCATTAATATGAGTCAATTGTCAATCCTGATCACGTGAACCGCAGGGTATGCTGCAATAGTTGTGTGAAAAAACAGGTCCCAAGTCTCATTTTTTTTCACTGCTGTTGTAACTTTGGTCACTAAATGAACGGTTATAAAGTCGAGGATTACCTGTAATTAACTTTGCCCTGCATTTATATCTCACTGCTTCTCTGCCAAGCTGGGAGGTCGGGGGAGGGCAAAAAAGTCAAGATGGTGGTCCCGCTCCTTTCCTACACGTGTTGCAAAACACATTAAAAAGAAGACACGGCTTCGATTTTTGCAAATGTGACCTTCCCCTCCCACAACTCTTTCACATACACTCACACACTGACACCCTGGTACAGAACTCAAAGCTACCTATTTGCCCCCCCTCCCATTTTACCAAAACGACAAGCCTGCAGGTAGTCTGTGATCCAAGAGACCGAATAGAATAGAATAGAATAGAATAGAATAGAATAGAATAGAATAGAATAGAATAGAATAGAATAGAATAGAATAGAATAGAAAATATAGAATAGAATAGAATAGAATAGAATAGAATAGAATAGAATAGAATAGAATAGAATAGAATAGAATAGAATAGAAAATATGGAATGGAATGGAATGGAATGTGGAATGGAATAAGGAATATGGAATAGAATAGGATAGGATAGGCTGGGATGGGATGGGATGGAATGGGATGGAATAGAATGTGGAATGGAATAAGGAATATGGAATAGAATAGAATGGAATGGAATGGAATAGAATAGAAAATGGAATGGAATACAATGGAATAGAATAAGGATTGGAAGAATAGAATAGAATAGAATAGAATAGAATAGAATAGAATAGAATAGAATAGAATAGAATAGAATAGACCTTGTAGGTCAGGGGTGTCAAACTTGACACATCACATAACATGTCCTGACGTATCATGACTTTTTTCCCATTGCCGGAGCTGGGGTGGGCACGGCTTCCCTGTGACGCATCCTGCCCCTGGTCCAGCAGTTTAACACCCCTGTTGTAGGTCATCTAGTCCAGCACCTCCCCCCCCCCCCCCCCGCCGCCCAAGCAGGAGACTCTACACAGTTTCTGATGATTATAATGCAGTATCGCGGGCTAATTCTGCTGATTGCCACTATGGGTCACGCACTTGTCTCGCTCTAGGTCTGCCTTCTACTCGTTTTCCCCCCTCCCGCCCCGCAATGACCCTGTAGCCTTTAACATTGTGATGGCAGGCAGAAATTCAACCGGGAGTGCTTTGGCCATCGTGGACACGCCGAGGTGAAGCGCAAAAGATTTCCTGCCTGCTGTGAAGCCATTCAAAGGCGTTTGGGTGCCCGCCGGTCTTGCTCGCTTCCGGGCTCATGGTCGGTGTGGCCTTCGTAGTCCACCCAGCCTGCCCACCCCACCCCGGGTTCGAGTCAGCGACCCGTCACTTTGTCTCATCTGCCTTGTTCCTGGAGCCTTTGCATCTTCAAAATCTGGAAGAGGATTTTTTGCACGTCTTCATCCATGTTGCCCTGAAAGGAGCAGAAAGGGGGGGGGGGGAGGAAAGAGAGATCATGAACATCTGGACATGTTCCTCAGCAATTTAACCAAGCGTTTTGACTGGCAGGGCTTCTGACTTCGTCCCTACAAGAGGACGGAAGTCCAACAACAGATCTGTAATCTCACTATTCGAGGAGACTGGTTGCGCTGGGGGAATCCCTACGAGATCAGCGGTCACCATCTCTCCGATAAAGGAGAATATTTGTAGCCCAGGGCTGAAATGGGGTCCTGGGTGCTCTCTGAGCTGGGTGCTTTTCTTGCAGGCGTTTCGTTACGCAAACTGGGTGACATCGATAGTGCTAGTCACCCTAGCACTGATGATGTTACCTAGTTTGGTCATGAAATGTCTGCAAGAAAACCACCAGGCTCAGAGACCATCAGGGACCTCCCAGTACCACCACCACCTCCTCCTCCCAAAACTCACTCCCTTCAAGCACTGATGATGTTACCTAGTTGGGTCATGAAATGTCTGCAAGGAAACCACCAAGCTCAGAGAGCACCAGGGACCCCACAGTCCTCCTCCCTTCCCCTCCTCCTCCTCCTCTCCAGAAACCGCACACTCTTCTAGCACTGATGATGTTACCTAGTTGGGTCATGAAACGTCTGCAAGAAAACAAGCCAGCTCAGAGAGTACCAAGGACCCCACAGTCCTTCCTTCCTTCCTTCCTTCCTTCCTTCCTTCCTTCCTTCCTTCCTTCCTTCCTTCCTTCCTTCCTTCCTTCCTTCCTTCCTTCCTTCATCCCTACCTACCTACCTACCTACCTCCTCTTCTCTACAAACTCCACTCCCTTCTAGCACTGATGATGTTACCTAGTTGGGTCATGAAACATCTGCAAGAAAACAAGCCAGCTCAGAGAGCCCCAGGGACCCCTCGTGACCTCTCTCCTCCATAAGCTGCCTTGGTTGCCCGTCCGCTTCTGGGTTCAATTCCTGCTGCAGGTTATGACCTATAAGGACCCACGTGGCATGGGGCTGGATCATCTGAGATAGCTCTTCTCCAGTTATCTGTACCCATCCCATCAGGTCTGGCAGAAGAGGCGTGTTATGGGTCCCGTCTCGTTCCTCTGACAGGACGAAGGAAGAGAGCCTTCTCGTCCACACGCCTGGGACATCGTCCCCTCTGAGGTTAGATTGGCCCTGACGCGTCTAGCCTTTCAGACAACCCTGGTTTTGCATCAGCCACGGGAACCTCATGGCGGTAGGAAGCCCGTGAGATGGCTGCATTGTTCGTAAGTCACCGGTAAGCCCTTCCCGTGTTTTCTGGTTAATTGATTTAACTTCTTTTCTTCTTCTTTTTTTTTTTTTTTGTAATATTTGATTGATTCTCTAATTTTACATTTCAGCATTTAAAAAGCAACGTGGCGGCTGGGTTAGTCAATAATTCAATAACATACTCTAGCTTATGAGTAAATTTTAGATTATTATTAATAGTTTAATATGGTTGAATTTATATTATTTTTAGTATTACGGTTTAATTGTATTATTATTTTTGTTATTAGTTTGTTAATATTTATCTTGAAAAGGAGTTAAAGTAGGTTATGGATTGGATTGTTAGTACAATTGGGTAATGTTAGTTAGATTATGATTGTTTATTTGTAACCCTGTAATCAGCTCTGGGAAGTGGGGGAGGGGTGGGAGGGATTTGGGATATATATTGTATAAAATTTTTAAAACTTTTAATAATAATAAAAAATAATTCAATAACATACAAAAACCTTTAAGTTGTTTTCAATAGTTTTTGTGATTGTGGTTTTGCGGGCCGGGGAATTCTGGCAGTTGGAAGTCTACATATCTTTAAAATTGCTAAGGTTGAGAAACGTAGTTCTAAAGGACTGCGAAAGCACTTTTTTGTTGTTGTTGTTGTTGTTGTTCCTTTCCATACTTTAAGTCTGGCTGGAAAGATAAGAATGTATTCCAGGAGACTCCATAGGGCAGTGGTTCTCAACTTTTTTAATGCCGCGACCCCCAACCAGTCGTAAGTCCAGGACTACTCAACCAGTCGTAAGTCCAGGACTACTCAACTGGTGCAGCACCGTTGGCAGAATGGGACTTTTGGCGGGCTCAGCAGGGCAGAGGCAGCCGGGACAATTCCTATTGGCTTTGGAAAGCCAATAGAATTAGAGTCTATTCAAGAGAGTCTATTCTATTGGCTTTCAAAAGCCAATAGAATAAAAGGGAGTAGCACAGCTAAGGAAAAGGGGAAAAAAATGGCGGACTGCGTTGTTTGGCGACCCCCATGAAATGGTCGTTCGACCCCAAATGGGGTCCCCACCCTCAGGTTGAGAACCACTGCCATAGGGGATCAAACCTGGAATGTACTCTCTTGCTCAAAGGTTCATGCTGACCAGTTGGACATCGGCCTGCCTAGTTTTATTCCTAAGGTGGCTCTATGAAAAAGTCAAAATAAATCGAAATACTGCCGTACAAGTAGTCCTTGACTTACAACAGTTTGTTTAGTGACCGTTTGGCACGGGAAAAAGTGACTTATGACCAGTTTTCACACTTACGACCGTTGCAGCATCCCTGTGGCCACGTGATTTACCTTCGGGTGCTTGACAACTGACTCACACTTATGACGGTCATGTGATCTCCTTTTGCAACCTTTTGATGAGCAAAGTCCATGGGGAAGTCAGAGTCACTTAACCGCTGTGTTACTAGTTTAACAACCGCAGGGAGTCACTTCACAAAGGGACCTTGGAGGTCATCAGGTCCAACCCCCTGCTCAGGCAGGTAACCCCAGGGCTTTTTTTCTCATAGAACGCTCAGAACGGAGTTCTGGCACCTTTTTTGGATGGAATTTTATAGGGTAGGCAAGACGGGTTGTATGAGTTCCAGCACCTTTTTTTTTTTTTTTAGAAAAAAAGCACTGGGTAACCCTATACCATTTTAGACAAATGGCTGTCCAGTCTCTTCTTAAAAACTTCCAGTGTTGGAGCATTCACCGCTTCTGGAGGCAGGTTATTCCACTGGTTAATTGTTCTAACTGTCAGGAAGTTTTTCCTTAGTTCTAGGTTGCTTTTCTCCTTGGTTAGTTTCCATCCGTTGCTTCTCGTCCTGCCTTCAGGTGCCTTGAAGAATAGCTTGACTCCCTCTTCTTTGGGGCAGCCCATGAGATACTGGAACACTGCTATCATGTCCCCCCTCATCCTTTCTTCGTTAAACTAGACATCCCCAATTCCAGCAACCGTTCCTTGTATGTTTTAGCCTCCAGTCCCCTAATCATTTTTGTTACTCTTCTCTGTCCTTTTTCTAGAGTCTCAACATCTTTTTTACATCGTGGTGACCAAAACTGGATGCAATATTCCAGGTGTGGCCTTACCAAGGCATTGAAGAGTGGTATTAATACTTCACGTGATCTTGATTCTATCCCTCTGTTAATGCAGCCTAGCACTGTGTTGGCCTTTTTGGCAGCTGCAGCACACGGCTGGCTCCTATTTAGGTGATTGTCCACTAGGACTCCGAGGTCCCGCTCACAGTTGCTACTACTGAGCAAGGTACCCCCTATACTATACCTGTGCATTTGGTTTTTCTTGCCTAAATGTAGAATCTTGCTTTTTTCATCCTTGAATTTCATTTTGTTAGATAACGCCCAGTGTTCGAGTCTGTCCAGATCAGTGGTTCTCAACCTGTGGGTGGGGAACCCATTTGGGGTCGAACGACCATTTCACGGGGGTCGCCAAACAACGCAGGCCACCACTTTCCCCCCCTTTTCCTTAGCTGTGCTACTCCCTTTTCTTCTATTGGCTTTTGAAAGCCAATAGAAGAGACTCTCTTGAATAGAGTCTAATTCTATTGGCTTTCCAAAGCCAATAGGAATTGTCCAGGCTGTCTCTGCCCTGCTGAGCCCGCCAAAAGTCCCATTCTGCCAACGGTGCGGCACCAGTTGAGTAGTCCTCGACTTACGACCGGTTGGGGGTCGCGGCATTAAAAAGGTTGAGAACCACTGCTCTAGATCCTCCTGTATCCTAAGCCTGTCTTCTGCAGTGTTGGCTATTCCTGCCAGCTTGGTGTCATCCGCAAATGTGATGAGTTCCCCATCTATCTCCTTGTCCAAATCTCAAAGCCGTTGTCATGCCTCTGTCTGAGCCTCAATCGGAGGAGGAAATGGAGCCGGAACAGGATCCTATGGAGGCCGAGGGAGAGGCGTCTTTGGCTTCGGAGGTCTGTGGGGAGGAGCAGGCTGAGGCAGGCCAGGGCCTTTCAGGTTTGGAACAGGGGAGAGAGAGTTCGGGCGAGGAGCAAGGCCCCTCCCCACCTGATCCTAGAGCAGTGTTTCTCAACTTTGACCATTTTAAGGCATGTGGACTTCAACTCCCAGAATTCCACAGCCAGCATTGCTGGCTGTGGAATTCTGGGAATTGAAGTCCACATGCCTTAAAATGGTCAAGGTTGAGAAACACTGTCCTAGAGCTAGGAAAGTGGAGAGGAGGAGGGAACAATGGAGGCAGGCTCACTTACTCCGGAGGAGAGCGTCCCGCCCCACCCCACAAGGCACACCTGGGGATTGAGATATAAGAAGCCGCTGTGGGTTGGGGACTTTGTCGGGAACAAAAGTTGAACCTTGGGAAAGTTGTGTATTGTTGCTCTTGTTCTGTGCCTCTGTTGGAAAACCCGGACACCTTGACAGACCGGACCCGGATGATCACGTGGATTTCCTGAATTACGACCTCAGACTGCCTGTTGACTTCTCTCTTTGCAAACGGTGCTGGCAAGCTGAGATTCAAGCGGACTCGTTAAGCTGATGTTTTGTTTGGTTTTGTTATCTTTACGGCCTTGGGGACATTCCGTATGGAAACTGCCTTCAGCCAGAGTCGGCTGGAAGGTGTGTGTGCGTATTTGGGTTGGAGGCTTGCCAGCCAATGGGGGAGCATTTGGAGGACACTTGCAACCATTAAAGAACTGTTAACACTGCCAGCTGTCTGCGTGGCCTTTGTGCTGTGCTCTGGGTCATCACAGCCATAGGGTTTTTCCTCAAGGTTGAATTCACTTGTTGGACTGTTGACATTGGGTCCACGTCACTAGCGGTGTCTCCACACTCAAACGGCAGTTCAGTCCTCTAGTCCAGGGGTCCCCAACCACCTGATCTGTGGACCAGCACCGGGCCACGGTATGCCAGCAACCAGGGCACACAAACAAGCAAAGCCCCATCATTGGGATGCAGGCAGCGTACAAAACCACGCACTCTCCGATCCACGGAAAAACTTCTCTCCACGGAACCGGTCCCTGGTGCCCAAAAGGTTGGGGAGACCTCTGCTCTAGCCCCCTCCTCGTCCCAACTTTGGCTCCTTGCAAACATATTCCAAATTCCTCTTTTCCCACCCTACGAAATATTTCTAATTAGGTTCCCTAGCCTGGTAGGCAGGGCTAGATGAGTCAAAAGTTGGAATTAAGATTGCCGGGAGAAATATCAACAACCTAAGATATGCAGATGATACCACTCTAATGGCAGAAAGTGAAGAGGAACTAAAGAGCCTCTTGATGCGGGTGAAGAAGGAGAGTGCAAAAGTTGGCTTGAAACTCAACATTAAGAAAATCAAAATCATGGCATCCAGCCCTCTCAATTCCTGGCAAATAGATGGGGAAGAAATGAAGGTAGTGACAGATTTTATTTTTCTGGGCTCCAAGATCACCTCAGGTGGGGACTGCAGCCAAGAAATTAAAAGACGCTTGCTCCTTGGGAGGAAAGCTATGGCAAATCTAGACAGCATTCTAAAAAGCAGAGACATCACCCTGCCAACAAAAGTGCGTATAGTCCAGGCCATGGTTTTCCCAGTTGCAATGTATGGCTGTGAAAGTTGGACCGTAAGAAAGGCTGAGCGCCAAAGAATTGAGGCCTTTGAACTATGGTGCTGGAGAAGACTCCTGCGAGTCCCTTGGACTGCAAGGCGTTCAAACCGGTCAGTCCTAGAAGAGATCAACCCCGACTGCTCTTTAGAAGGCCAGATCCTGACGTTGAAACTCAAATACTTTGGCCACCTAATGAGAAGGAAGGACTCACTGGAGAAGGGCCTAATGCTGGGAAAGATTGAGGGCAATAGAAGAAGGGGACGACAGAGAATGAGATGGCTGGATGGAGTCACTGAAGCAGTAGGTGTGAACTTAAATGGACTCCAGAAAATGGTAGAGGACAGGAAGTCCTGGAGGAACGTTGTCCATGGGGTTGCGATGGGTCGGACACGACTTTGCAATTAACAACAACAAGCCTGGTAGTGAAACATTCGGCAACTGTTCTGTCCCAGCCTACATATGTCCTTGTTACTTCACAAAGACAACACCTCTCGTAACAGTAGACTGGGAAATAAACCCTTTTTATCTGAGTTACAGACCTGATAACTGTCCCAGAAAACCAAAGCAACAGAACACTTTTCCAATGGAGACCTTGCCCAAAAGCAACACGGAGCACGAGTCAAATAGGAAGTAACTCACAGGCAAAATAAACAGACCATGATCTCTTGACTCTAAAGTTCTTTGCAAACAGTTGCCTCCAGCAACCGGTCCTGCCCACACATTCCCTTTTTGTTACGCAGCCCCCAAGGCCTGGCTTCTCACTGCTTTCTCCTCTTCTCCTGGAGTCGTCACATTGCCTCCCTCTGTCCTACTCATATGACCTGTCTACATTTATGAACGTATCTGAGGTCTTCCAGCTGTGCTTCCTCTGAGTCCAATTCAGTTTCCCAGCACAGCTGGCTCTCAGCGTGATCACAAGTGGAAGGACCAGCCTCCGACTCTGATGACTCACCAGCCCCCCACCCTCTTCTGATTCCCCAGACTCAACTACTGAGATCACAGAATCACGATAGAAACCAACCCACAAGCTCGGAGAACGAACCTTCACCCTCATATTTCTAACTCACTGTCAGGAACGAAGACCTGGACGACTCACCTGGATAGCGTAGAGAAGGTGTCCTCTGTATAAAGAGACGATATTGCTATGGCGTCGCTCAGATTCCTAGTACGAAAGAGAATGAAAACAAATAAGTAAATAGTTCAAAATAAAATAAAATAACAGAAATGGCTCAGCTGAGATTATTTCAAGTGGAGTTCACGGCGGTCACAAACATCTTCGTGGTGGCTTAGAATGCAGGACTGCAGGCTACTTCTGCTGACCTCCAGCTGCCAGCAGTTTGGCAGTTCGATCCTGACCAGCTCAAGGTTGACTCAGCTTTCCATCCTTCCGAGGTTAGTAAAATCAGGACCCAGATTATTGGGGACAATGAGCTGACTCTGTAAACTGCTTAGAGAGAGATGTAAAGTACTGTGAAGTGGCATATGTGCAATTGCTATTCCAAATGTGGTGTTACCAATACATTAATAATAATAATAATAATAGTAGTAGTAGTAGTAGTAGTAGTAGTAGTAGTAGTAGTAGTAGTAAAGTTGGAAGGGACCTTGGAGGTCATCTAGTCCAACCTCCTGCTCAGGCAGGAAACTCTACACCATTTCGGACAAATGGCTGTCCACTCTCTTCTTAAAAACTTCCAGTGTTGGAGCATTTACTGCTTCTGGAGGCAGGCTGTTCCACTGATTAATTGTTCTCACTGTCAGGAAGTTTCTCCTTAGTTCTAGGTTGCTTCTCTCCTTGATTAGTTTCCACCGTTGCTTCTTGTCCTGCCTTCAGGTGCTTTGGAAAATAGCTTAATTCCCTCTTCTTTATGGCAGCCCCTGAGATATTGGAATACTGCTATCATGTCCCCCCTTGTCCTTCTCTTCGTTAAACTCGACATACCCAATTCTCGCAACCGTTCCTTATATGTTTTAGCCTCCAGTCCCCTAATCATCTTTGTTGCTCTTCTCTGTACTCTTTCTAGAGTCTCAACATCTTTTTTACATCGTGGTGACCAAAACTGGATGCAGGATTCCAAGTGTGGCCTTACCAAGGCCTTGTAAAGTGGTATTAACACTTCACGTGATCTTGATTCTATCCCTCTACTCCTTGTTCATTTTCCAAGGAACACCTAATCCATCTCAGAGGGAAGAAACCAGGCAGTTAGGTTTGAGGGACCCTCCTAAAACAACCTTTAGAGTTTCTCCTTAATTCTCCTTCCTTTGTCAGATACTCACAACCAATTGTTGCTCCAGATCTTTAATTCTGCTCTGGAAGGTAGCTACGTCCAGATCACTGTCTGCCTTTGGTGAGAAGATCCCTTTGGAAGAAGCACTGCTAGAAAGCTCGGAAAGATCCTTCGGAGCTTCTTTCAGTTTTAAGACCTCTTTGGAGAGCTCTGTGATCTGTCAAGAAGAAGAGGAAATAACAACACCAGGGCAACAATTATTTTTCATATCCAGCAAGCCACACATGACCGTCTGGGTTCTTCTGCAAAGCCAGAAAAGAAGTAAGAAATAGTAAGTCAAAGAAATTAAGGCCTGAGATAAGAAAAAGAATAGATTTCAGCTAAGTTCAGTTTACACCAGGGGTAATTTCAGCTTACACCAGGGATGTCCGACCTTGGCATCTGTGGACTTCAACTCCCAGAATTCCCCAGCCAGCCAACTTCTGGGAATTGAAGTCCAGAAGTCTTAAAGTGGCTGAGGTTGGACACCCCTGATTTACACCAACAGAATAACATTGTGGGAACGGACCTTGGAGGTCTTCTACTCCAGTGCTTTTCAGCCAGTGGTACGGGTACCACCTGTGCTACATTGGCACCTGGCAGGTGGTACGCGAGCATCCTAGAAAAGGGGTAGCGGTGGAGGGGAATGAGCTGAACCGGTGGCAGCACCGCACAAGCCTGAGCGAGAGACGGCTGGAGCTGCAGGGCTGTCGGGGCTCAGCGGAAGCGCCAGGATCAGTGCCGCTTTCCAGCTGATCGGCGCTTCTTCGGGGCTGTCAGGGCTCAGTGGAAGCGCCAGGATCAGCGCCAGGCTCCAGCTGGAGCTCAGCACTGATCCTGGTGCTTCTGCTGAGCCCTGAAGAAGCACCAATCAGCTGGAAAGCAGCACTGATCCTGGGGCTTCTGCTGAGCCCAAAAGAAATGCCGATCAGCTGGAATGTTGCAGCCTCTCCAGGGTCTTGTGATTTACATTCACATGCTTGGGAACTGATTCGTATTAATGACGGTCACAGTGTCCCAGGGTCATGTGAAGTGACCAAAACCTGCAGCAACCACCCAGCAGATGGGGGGGAATAAAAACCAAACACCCCCCCCACCCCACACCTGCTGCCAATCCTCAACAGAAATGCTCACAACAATGAAAACCTCGGACAGGAGGAAGAGCGCTGCCGGGCAGGCAGGCAGGTGTCTTGCTCGGCTGTGGCTTGGGGGGCCTTTTTTTCAGTGCCGTTGTAACTTCAAATAGTCACTAAGCGAACTGTTGTAAGTCGAGGACGACCTGTACTTTATCACTTTTTTTCCTTTGGGGGGGGTCATCAAGTTTTTGACACCTTGCTAGACAACTGGTGGTACTCGGATGTTGCCATATCCTAAAAGTGGTACAATGGGTGAAAAGGTTGAAAAGCCCTGTTTTAGAAGACCTGAAGGCCAAATGTCATTGTCATACTTAGCTCCATACTTGTGACTGAACTGTATTTCTCTTTCCCAACCACCATGTTCTCATCTTCTTCTTCCTCTCGACCCATTCATGCTTTTCTTCCCCTATTTCTTGGGAGCTGCAATCCTCATTTCTTGTCTCTGTAGGACCAAGCTAATAATATTAATAATAATAAAGTTGGAAGGGACCTTGGAGGTCATCTAGTCCAACCCCCTGCTCAGCCAGGAAACCCTAGACCATTTCAGCTCCCTCGGCGCATTTCTTTCGAAGGGCTCAGTTCTATATTCAATCCATATTGATTGGTTGATTTTTTAAAAAAACTTTATTGGTTTTTAAAACATAAATCACATAATAGGTGATTAACACTGTGTTTGTCTGGCTTACATTTACAAAGGAAAATCGTCAACAATTAATATCTATAATTCATAATTCACGTATTCCACACAAATGTTTCTTTTTTCTTAATTTTCACTTTAATATTGAAATATTTTCCCTTCCATCAGTATCATGCTTGATCAATGAGTTTGGCTGAATCGGAGTGTTTTTCCCTCTATTTTTCCTCAACCAAACATACAATTTGTTCCAGATTTTGTAGTAATCTGTTTCACTCTTATCCTTAAGTTCTAACATCAACCTGTCCATTTCAGCACAGGATAAAATCTTATTTATTACCGCTTCTTCTGAGGGTGTCTCACTGTCTTTCCATCTCTGTGCAAAGACTAATCTTGCTGCTGTTAGCATGTGTAATAATAGGTATAAGGATCCTTTATAGTATAGTATAGTATAGTATAGTATAGTATAGTATAGTATAGTATAGTATAGTATAGTATAGTATAGTATAGTATAGTATAGTATAGTATAGTATAATATAGTGCAGGGCAGGGCAGGGCAGGGCAGGGCAGGGCAGGGCAGTGGTTCTCAACCTTTTTAATGCCGCGACCCCCCAATCAGTCGTAAGTCGAGGACTACTCAACCGGTCATAAGTCGAGAACTACTCAACTGGTGCAGCACCGTTTGCAGAATGGGACTTTTGGCGGGCTCAGCAGGGCAGAGACAGCCTGGACAATTCGTATTGGCTTTTGAAAGCCAATAGAATTAGATTCTATTCAAGAGAGTCTATTCTATTGGCTTTCAAAAGCCAATAGAATAAAAAGGAGTAGCACAGCTAAGGAAAAGGGGGGAAAAAATGGCAGACTGCGTTCTTTGGCGACCCCCGTGAAATGGTCTTTCGACCCCAAATGGGGTACCGACCCACAGGTTGAGAACCACTGGTATAGGGGGTACCTTGCTCAATAGTAGTAACTGTGAGAGGGACCTCGGAGTCCTAGTGGACAATCACTTAAATAGGAGCCAGCAGTGTGCTGCAGTTGCCAAAAAGGCCAACACAATGCTAGGCTGCATTAACAGAGGGATAGAATCAAGATCACGTGAAGTATTAATACCACTTTACAAGGCCTTGGTAAGACCACACTTGGAATACGGCATCCAGTTTTGGTCACCACGATGTAAAAAAGATGTTGAGACTCTAGAAAGAGTGCAGAGAAGAGCAACAAAGAGGATCAGGGGACTGGAGGCTAAAACATATAAGGAACAGTTGCTAGAATTGGGTATGTCTAGTTTAACGAAGAGAAGGACGAGGGGGGACAGGATAGCAGTGTTCCAATATCTCAGGGGCTGCCCCAAAGAAGAGGGAGTCAAGCTATTCTCCAAAGCGCCTGATGGCAGGACAAGAAGCAACGGGTGGAAACTAATCAAGGAGAGAAGCAACCTAGAACTAAGGAGAAACTTCCTGACAGTGAGAACAATTAACCAGTGGAACAACCTGCCTCCAGAAGTGGTGAATGCTCCAACACTGGAAGTGTTTAAGAAGAGACTGGACAGCCATTTGTCTGAAATGGTATAGGGTTGTATGCCTGAGCAGGGGGTTGGATTAGATGACCTCCAAGGTCCCTTCCAACTTTATTGTTGTTGTTGTTGTTGTTGTTGTTGTTGTTGTTGTTGTTGTATCTATCTTTAGTGATACCCAGCAAAAAGAGTTCTGGTTTTAGCTCAATGTTCTGCATATTGATTGGTTGATTGATTTTGGCTTTTTAGGTCACGCCAAGCTGTAGGTTTGAGCAGCTCATAAAATGTAACCATAAATCACAGAATATTTCATTCAGAAGGGAAAAAACCCTGGTGGTTTTTAAGAATAGACCGGATAGCCATTTGTCCTGAATCGTATACTATACCCGTGCATTTGTTTTTTCTTGCCTAAATGGAGAACCTTACTTTTTCCATCATTGACTTATATGTTGCAACAAGGAAGGCTAAAATGACATTTGAGCTGGAGTATTTTATATATTTTGCCCATTTGCATGGAAAGTCTAAGAAACATGTGAAATATTTAAGAGTTTCATCATTTGACTTTCCATTTTTGCCATTCTATAATTTCCTAGGCATTCTATAAAACGCCTAATTTCAGACACTGACGGTAATCCTTACAAAGCCAGAATTAAGAAGTTAATTCCTCTTAAATTACATATCCAAAGTGTGCAATGAAACCTTAGATGAAGAATTACTGGTATAATAATAATAATAATAATAATAATAATAATAATAATAATAATAACCACAACAACAACAACAACAACAACAACACATCTGCCAATCCCAGGTCCTGGGTAAGGACTCGATAGGTAGAGAAAATGCCAAATCCAGTCTGAACATCTGGCTGACTGTGCGATGATCCATAATAATAATAATAATACAGTGGACCACCTGGTAAGCTGTTGCAAGAATATTGCACAGACTGACTACAAGCAGCGGCATGACAAAGTAGCAATAATGGTGCATTGGAAGATCTGCAAAAAATATCATTTGCCTGTAAGCAAAAACTGGTGGGATCATAAAATAAAGTCATAGAAAATGATAAAATTAAACTGCTCTGGGACTTCAGAATTCAAACAGACAAGCACCTGCAACATAACACCCCAGACTTAACAATTGTCGATAAGAAAGACAAAAAAGTCTGGATAGTGGATGTGGCAGTGCCTGGAGATAGCAGAATAGAAGAGAAAGAACTGGAGAAGATAACAAAATACAAAGACCTACAAATAGAAATAGAAAGACTGTGGCAAAAGCAAGCAAGGGTAGTACCAATAGTAATAGGCTCCTTGGGTGCAATCCCAAAACAACTGGAGCACCACTTGAACACCATTGGCACTGACAAATTCGCTATTAGTCAATTGCAAAAGGCGGCCTTACTAGGAACTGCTTCCATCCTGCGACGATATCTGTAATACCATCAAACATCCACATCTGCCTATCCCAGGTCCTGGGTAAGGACTCGATAGGTAGACAAAATGCCAAATCCAGTCTGAACATCTGGCTGACTGTGTGATGATCCATAATAGCCTATCCCAGATCAAACATCCACATCTGCCTATTCCAGGTCCAGTCTGAACATCTGACTGGCTGTGCAATGAATAATAATAATAATAATAATAATAATAATAATAATAATAATAAAAAGTTGGAAGGGACCTTGGAGGTCATCTAGTTCAACCCCCTGCTCAGGCAGGAAACCCTATACCATTTCTCCATGCAGAGGAGATAGCAAAGAAGATCCGGAAAAGATTCTCTCGGGCTAACCTGACAGGGAGAACAATTAACCAGTGGAACTCCTTGCCTCCAGAATTTGTGGGTACACCAACACTGGAGGCTTTTAAGAAAGGACTGGGCAACCCCTTGTCTGGAATGGTGTAGGATTTCCTGCTTGAGTAGGGGGTTGGACTAGAAGATCTCCGAGGTCCCTTCCAACTCTGAGAATAACGGAATAACAAAGTTAGGAGGGATCTTGGAGGTCATCTAGTCCAACCCCCTGCTCAGGCAGGAGACCCCCATATACCATTTCAGAAAAATGGTTGTCCAATTTCTTCTTAAAAACCTGTAGTGTTGGAACACCCACAACTTCTGGAGGCAGGTTGTTCCACTGATTAATTGTTCTAACTGCCAGGAAGTTTCTCCATAGTTCCAGGTTGCTTCTCTCCTTGATTAGTTTCCATCCATTGCTTCTTGTCCTGCCTTCAGGCGCTCTGGAGAATAGCTTGACCCCCCTTTTCTTTGGGCAGCCCCCCAAATATTAGAACACTGCTATCCTGTCAGTCTTAGCCTTTCTTTTCATTAAACTAGACATACCCAATTCCAGCAACCGTTCTTCGTATGCTTTAGCCTCCAGTCCCCTGTTCCTCTTTATTGCTCTTCTCTGCACTCTTTCTAGAGCAGTGGTTCTCAACCTTTCTAATGCCGCGACCCCATAATACAGTTCCCCATGTTGTGGTGACCCCCAACCACTTACCGTATATTCCGACGTATAAGGCGACTGGGCGTATAAGACGACCCCCAACTTTTGAGAAGATTTTCAGGGTTTAGAAAGTCATCTTATATGCCAGAAAATACAGTACAATATTGAATTTCTGTTTATAGATGAGCACAATAGGAGCTCCTTTGCTGCTAGAAAGCTTTGTCCTGTTAAGTGCTTATTTCTGTAAAAAAAATAGGGCTGGCCACTAGAGGGCAGATTGGTTTTAAATTCAGAGAACAGCTACCCGCATATACCTGCGTATAAGACGACCCCTGACTTTTGAGAAGATTTTCAGGCTTTAGAAAGCGTCTTATACACCGGAAAATACGGTATACATCACCAGGTGCCAGGGGTGTGGCCAAAGAAAAGGGGGAAAAAATGGCGGACTGTGTGGTTTGGCGACCCCCGTGAAATGGTCGTTCAACCCCAAATGGGGTCCCGACCCACAAGTTGAGAACCGCTGTTCTAGAGTCCTTTTTTTTTTTTTACATCGAGGTGACCCAAACTGGATGCAGTAGGACAAATCCGAGAGCATCTTTTCGGACAAACCAAAACATGACTCACCTTCTTGTCTTTCTCTTTGAGCAGCTCGGCCGAGTCCTCGACGTGGCTGTGCAACTCCTGGAGACGGTCGGACTCGGCCCGCAGGCTCTGCAGCTGCTTCTCGGCGCTGGCTAGCTGGGCCTCGGCAGCCTGCTTCTCGCTCTTCATGAAGAGGGCCTCCCGCTGCACCTGGAAGACTTCGGTGCAGGTCCGCTCGTGCTTGCGGCCCAGGTCGCTCAGCTTGGCCCTCAGGGCCTCGCTCTCGGCCTGCGAGGCGGCCCTCAGCTGCTCGTGGGCCTCCTTGGAGACGGCACCTCGACGGAGCTCGTCCAGGTCCGCCTGGAGTCGAGAGGCCTCCCGGGCCTTGGCTCTCAGCTCCTGCTCCACCAGCTTTGCTTTGGCCTTCAACTCCCACAAGGTGCCTTCTAACGCCTCCTTGGCCCGGACGTGCTCGGTCAGGGGTATCGACTGTCGCCTGTAGACCTCGGTGGACTTCTGAAGTTCCGCCAGCTCGATCCGGGTGGAGGTGTACTTCTCTTTCATCTCCAGCAGCCTCTCTTCGGCCTCGGAGAAGGCGGCCTTCAGCTTCTCCACCGTGTCTTCGTGCTCCGCTCTAGGGACGTACTCAGAGGCCAAGATCTCCTTGGTTGCTTGAAGCTCCTCTTCCAGCTTCTCCCGGCCTTCTCGGAGCTCCTCGAGATGAGCCTTTGCTTCTTGGTGTCGCTCAGTCATGGCTTCCAGCTGTTCTCGCAGCTTGCTGGTCTCCTGAAGGGCCTGGCTGATGGAAGACCTTCCTTCCAGCATCTGGTGGCTGTTCTTCTTCTCCTCCTTCTCCTCCTCCTCCTCCTTCTCCTTCTCCTGCAAGGAGGCCCTTAGTTCTCTTAGCTCCGTTTCCACAGAGGCGCACCTCTGGAGAAGCGCCTCTTTCTCCTTCGACACAGCATCCAAGGAGGCCCCAAGGGTGGCTTTCATCTCCTCGCAGGCCTGAGCGGAGCAGTTTTGGGCCCCTCTTTCTTCTCGAACCCTGAGCAGCCCTTCCAAATCCTTCACCTTCTGGTCTCGTTCCTTCAGCTCCTCCCGAGTCTGGTGCAGAGCAGCCTTCACCGTCTGGAGTTCGATGCTGGAACTCTCAGCAGCTTCTTTGTCCTCAACGGACAAGATGCCCAGCTCAATCTGGTCCTCCAGGAGCTTCACTTCGGCCAAAGCTACCTGATATTTCTCCTGGGTTTCTCTCAGTTTCTTTGTCAGCTCCTCCGTCTCTTCTCTCCCCCATCTCTTGAAGTTGCTTTGTCCTTCCGGCTCCACGTCAGCTTCGCTTTCCGTCGCTTGGTTCAGCCCGATCGGATCGCCCGGGCAGTTGATCTTCTCCAAGGCTTGCTTAAGGGCTGCGATTTGCTTCTCGTAATCGTCCTTCAGCCGTTGTTCGTAAGCCTCGGCCGAGATGGGTTTAGGAGGGCTTTCCTCCGTTCCCTGGCTTTCCAGCGACTTCAGCAGCTCCTGAGCCTCCAGCTGCTGTGCTTTCAGCTTCTCAAACTCGGATCGGAGCGAGTCGTACAAAACGACAGGGATGACATCCCCGGAAGGGTCAGCCTCGCTCTCGTCCTTCTCCAACACCTGCACAAAACAGAAAGTTACTTGAAACACCCAGAGACAGAGACAGAGAAAAAAAAACCCACCAAAAAGTGATCAGGAGAGTTGACTGCATTGTGTGGCATGATTGCAAGCAGTCCTTGACTTTGGACGGATGCTTTTGGTCCTTCTTCTGCGTTTTTGCCTTTCCTAAAAGGGTATTTATTAAGGTGACCAAGCGTCCTCCTTTAGGGAGGACAGTCCTCCTTTGGTGAGTTCTGTCCTCCCTCGAAAAGTGTCCTCCTTCATGTCCTCCTTTTCGATATTTGAAGACTACCGTATATGCCGGCGTATTAGGCGACCCGGCGTATAAGACAACCCCCGTCTTTATAGCCGGGCCGCATTCCTAGAACGTCGTCTTATACGCCGGAAACTACCAGTATTTCCGGCGTATAAGACGACTCGGCGTATAAGACGACCCCCGTCTTTGGCGCCGATTTCAGCGCTCACGGAAGTCGTCTTATACGCCGGCATTTACGGTAATCTACAGGGCTTTTTTTTTCTCACAGAACGCTCAGAATGGTGTTCCGGCACCTTTTTTTGATGTTTTTTGTTTTCAACTTTTGCATGAGCTGTGCTACTCCCGCTATTGGCTCTCAAAAGCCAATAGGAATTGCTGCTGAGCGCGCCAAAACACCCGTCCGGCAAACTTTGCACATGTAAGTTGTCTGCAGCGAAAGCGAATTGGCAGGAATTTTGCACCCCTCCTGCTACCCAACTACATCATCTCCTAGTTAGTCCTGAAGATACCTGAGGAGACTGGAGCAGCGATGCCACAGTAACTTTCTCTTGATCTTCGGCCCTGCTAGGGCAATAATGGCTGCGGGTGCAAGAGGCAGGGGCAACGGGGCTGCTGCGGGCGGGGGTGTGAGGGGCGGCAGTGGCCAGCTGCCCCCCGTGCTATGGGAGCCACGGGGCCTGCTCTACACAGGGCTGTGCAGGGTGGGTGGTGGTGCTGGCGGGGCGGTTGCAGGTGGGGTGTGTTGATGGTGGGCTACCCCCCAGGGCCAGAGCTGGCGCAGCAGATGCTTTCGGAGCCGCGGGGCCCGCTCTACGCAGCGGGGCAGCAGTGCTGGCGGGGCAGCTGCGGGCGGGGTATAGCATGTAAGCATAATTACAGTATAAAATGTTATTGTTACAAATGTTTTTTATTATGCAATTATCATATTATAGGGTATTCTGTATTATTGTTGCAATGAATAAAATGTTTTATTTACGATCTTTTTGTCTTCAATTTATTTGTGTCCTCCTTTTCATTGTAGAAAAGTTGGTCACCTTATATTGATTGTTATTCCCAGGCGGTCCTCGGCTTACGACCACAGCCGAGCCCCCAAATTTCCATGGCTAGGCGAGACAGCGGTTAAGTGAGCTTGGTCCCGTTTTACGACCTTCCCTGCCAGAGTCGTTAAACGAGTCTTAAGCAAACCGGGCTTCTACCTCGACTTTGCCCATTGGAAGGTTGCAAAAGGGGGTTGCGTGACACCCCCCCCCCCAGGACACTGCAACCGTCGCAAGTACATGCCAGTTGCCAGTCATTTGAATTTTGATCACAGGACCGCAGAGATGCTACGACAGTCGGTAAGTGTGAAAAAAATGGTCATAAGTCCCTTTTTTTCAGTGCCGTGGTGACTTTGGTCACTAAATGAACTGTCGTAAGTCGAGGATTATCTGTATTCCAACTCTGTCCTTGTGGGGGGGAGGGTCTCCAGCCGAAGGATCCCCCAGCTGCATGTGACTGCAACTCCAGGAGAGCATGCAGCTGGTCCTCAACTCACAAGCATTTCTTTAGTGATCGTTCCAAGTTAGAGCCACGCTGACTTATGACCGGGTTTCACACTTACGACCCTTGCAGCATCTCCGCGGCAACATGATCCAAACTCAGTCACTTGGCAACTGGCATGTACTACTTCTACTACTACTACTAATAATAATAATAATAATAATAAAGTTGGAAGGGACCTTGGAGGTCATCTAGTCCAACCCCCCCTGGTCAGGCAGGAAACCCTATACCATTTCGGACAAATGGCTGTCCAGTCTCTTCTTAAAAACTTCCAGTGTTGGAGCATTTACCGCTTCTGGAGGCAGGTTGTTCCACTGATTAATTGTTCTCACTGTCAGGGAGTTTCTCCATAGTTCTAGGTTGCTTCTCTCCTTGATTAGTTTCCACCCGTTGCTTCTTGTCCTGCCTTCTCTTTGGAGAATAGCTTGACTCTCTCTTCTTTGGGGCAGCCCCTGAGATATTGGAAGGCTGCTATCACAGTGGTTCTCCACCTGTGGGTCGGGACCCCATTTGGGGTCGAACGACCATTTCACGGGGGTCACCAAACAACGCAGTCCGCCATTTTTTCCCCCCTTGTCCTTAGCTGTGCTACTCCCTTTTATTCTATTGGCTTTTGAAAGCCAATAGAATAGACTCTCTTGAATAGGGTCTAATTCTATTGGCTTTCCAAAGCCAATAGGAATGGTCCAGGCTGTCTCTGCCCTGCTGAGCCCGCCCAAAGTCCCCTTCTGCAAACGGTGCTGCAAGTTGTCTGCAGCGAAGGCGAGCTGTCTGGAAGTTTCCACCCCTCCCTGCTGAGCACCTACTAAAAATGGAAGTAAAAGAGGGCCAGGGGTGGGAGGTGGGAGGAGTGGTGGCACAGTGGTTAGAATGCAGTATTGCAGGCTGACTCTGCCCACTGCCAGCAGTTTGATCCTGACCGGCTCAACGTTGACTCAGCGTTCCATCCTTCTCAGGTCAGTAAAATGAGGACCCAGACTCTTGGGGTAATAGGCTGACTCTATAAACTGCTTAGAGAAGGCTGTAAAGCACCGTGAAGCGGTGTATAAATCTAAGTGCTATTGCTATTGCCCTTCCTTCCTTCCTTCCTTCCTTCCTTCCTTCCTTCCTTCCTTCCCACCCTCCCGCCTGCCTGCCTGCCAGCAGTTCGATCCTGACCAGCTCAACATTGACTCAGCCTTCTCTCCGAGACCGGTAAAATGAGAACCCAGATTGGGGGGGGGGGGGCGCAACAGGGTGACTCTGTAAACTGCTTAGGGAGGGCTGTAAAGCACTATGAAGCGGTGTATAAGTCTGAGTGCTGCTATTGCTGTCAGAATTTTGATCACGTGATCACGGGGAGGCTGCAATGGTGGTAAAGCGTGAAAAACGGTCATAAGTCATTTTTTCTCAATGCCGTTGTAACTCTGAACGATCACTAAACGTTGTAAGTCTAGGATTACCTGTACTGTAGCATTGGTTATCTCAAGCAATCTTTCTCCACAACAGGGTGAGCAAAGCTGTAATTTACCTCTATTTTCTCCATTAATTTCTTGTTCTTCCGGGTCAGGGACTCGATCTGGCTCTGCAGGGTGGCTAAGAGCTCTTCAGTCGAGGCACTCAAGCTTTTTTTGGAGAGAAGCTCAGCTGCGGCTAAAAAAGAGAGGGAGGAGAAAGAAAGAAAGAAAGAAAGAAAGAAAGAAAGAAAGAAAGAAAGAAAGAAAGAAAGAAAGAGAGAAAGAGAGAAAGAGAAAGAAAGAAAGAGAGAGAGAGAGAGAGAGAGAGAGAGAGAGAGAGGAAGGAAGGAAGGAAGGAAGGAAGGAAGGAAGGAAGGAAGGAAGGAAGGAAGGGAAAAAAGGAAGGAAGGAAGGAAGGAAGGAAGGAAGGAAGGAAGGAAGGAAGGAAGGAAGGAAGGAAGGAAGGAAGGAAGGAAGGAAGGAAGGAAGGAAAAAGATGCAGAAAAACAGATTAAAGCTGGTGGAGAAGGCCCGCCTGCGCCCAACCTTTCTGTTGTTAAGTGAGGCATTTGTTAAGTGAGTTTTACCCCACTTTACGACCTCTCTTGCCACAGTTGTTAAGTGAAACACAGCAGTTGATAAGTCAGTAGCCTGGACGTTAAGTGAATCCAGCTTCCCCCACTGACTGCTTGTCAGAAAGTCGCCAAAGGGGATCACCTGAGCCCGGGACACCGTGACCGTCGTAAATATGAGTCAATTGTCAAGTCTCCCAATTTTGATCATGTCACCATGGGGATGCCAAAATGGCCATAAGTGTGAAACACGGTCCTAAGTCCCTTTTTTTCAGTGCCGTTGTAACTTTGAACGGTCACTAAATGAATCGTTGTAAGTCGAGGTCTACTTGTATTCTCCTCAGATACACCCTTGAGATACCCAGTGGTGGTGGTGGTCACTAATGCAATACAGGTAGTCCTCGACCTATGACCACAATTGAGGGAGGGGGGGTGTCTGAATTTCCATCGCCAAGCAAGATGGCTGTTCACTGAATCGCACCCAAACTTTCTGACTTTTTATATGCCACAATTCTTAAGCAAATCTTGGCGGTTGTTAAGTGCATCGCACGGTCGTTACGCGAATCCGGCTTCCTCCATTGACCACTGCTGATCAGGAGCTGTCTGGGAAGATCGGAAACGGCCATCGGGTGACCCAGAATCCTGCAACCGCTATAAATACACACGGAGGGTCAAGGGGCTGGATTTTGGTCGCGGGACCTTAGGGATGCTGCAGTGGTCGTATGTGTGAGGGCTGATGGTATGAGGTTGCTTTTTTCACTGCGGTTGTATTTCTGAACGGTCAGTAAAAGAATGATGGTAAGTAGAGGACCTTGCTCAATAGTAGTAACTGTGAGAGGGACCTCAGAATCCTAGTGGACCATCACTTAAATAGGAGCCAGCCGTGTGCTGCAGCTGCCAAAAAGGCCAACACAGAGCTAGGCTGCATTAACAGAGGGATAGAATCAAGATCACGTGAAGTGTTAATACCAAGTATTGGCATTCTTCAATGCCTTGGTAAGGCCACACTTGGAATACTGCATCCAGTTTTGGTCACCACGATGTAAAAAAGATGTTGAGACTCTAGAAAGAGTACAGAGAAGAGCAACAAAGATGATTAGGGGACCGGAGGCTAAAACATATAAGGAACGATTGCTGGAATTGGGGATGTCTAGTTTAATGAAGAGAAGGATGAGGGAGGACATGATAGCAGTGTTCCAATATCTCAGGGGCTGCCCTAAAGAAGAGGGAGTCAAGCTATTCTCCAAAGCGCCTGAAGGAAGGACAAGAAGCAAAGGATGGAAACTCATCAAGGAGAGAAGCAACCTAGAACTAAGGAGAAACTTCCTGACAGTTAGAACAATTAACCAGTGGAACCACCTGCCTCCAGAAGCAGTAAATGCTCCAACACTGGAAGTTTTTAAGAAGAGACTGGACAGCCATTTGTCTGAAACGGTGTAGGGTTACCTGCCTGAGCAGGGGTTGGACTCAATGAGCTCCAAGGTCCCTTCCAACTTTATATTATTATTATTATTATTACTACTACTACTACTACTGTTGTTATTGTTGTGTTCTTGTTGTTATTATGATGATGATGATGATGATGATGATGATGATGATGATGATGATTATCTATATTTAGATGGGGCCTAGCCGACAGATTTGCTCAGCTCTGAACACTTTATATGCAGGTAGTTCTCCACTTACTTCATTTAGTTACAATGGAACTGGAAAAAAGGGACTTAGGACCATGTTTCACACGTATGACCATTTCACGTGGTCACGTGATCCAAATTCAGATGCCTGGCCACCGACTCACATTCATGACGATCGCGGCGTCCCGGGGTCACGCAATCCCCACGAAAGCTCGTAAAACAGGGTCAAATTCACTTCACAAATCTCTCGTTTAAACGATACGAAACGTGGGGCTCGGTTGCGGTCGTTAAGCCGAGGACTGCCTGTGTTCTGCCGGGAGATGAAGGGCCAGCCTTACCTGGAAGCTCCAGCATTTCTCCTTCCTCGTCCTGCAGGGTCTCCACGTCGTAGCTGGTGTTTTCCTTGTCGTTCTGCACAAAGAGAAGAGGAGATGAGGGTTTCCTGGAATGTGGGAATCTAAGACGAGCAACACGGAGGAGAAAAGACGCTGACTGGCTGCTCTCGACTCAGGGACGAAGGCGACCGTTTTGGGAAAAAATTTGGACTTTATGCCAATTATGTAGGTGCATTTCTCTCTCCTAGATACGGTCCAGATGTGATGGAAGATCATCCAGATTCTCAAGAGGGAGGGGGGGAGGATGGGGTCCTGGGAGCTCTCTGAGTTTAGTTGTTTCCTTGCAGACGTTTCGTAACCCTTCTAGGTAACACCATCAGTGCTAGACCAGAGTGAGGTTTGGGGAGAGGAGGAGGAGGAGGAGGAGGAGGAGGAGGAGAAAAACTGTGGGATCCTTGGCGCTCTCTTGAGTTTGATCGTTTTCTTGCAGACATTTCATTACCAGACTAGGTAACATCATCAGTGCACGGTGAAATGTCTGCAAGAAAGCAGCCAAGCTCAGAGAGCACTAAGGACCCCACAGTCGTCGTCGTCGTCGTCCTCCTCCTCCTCCTCCTCCCTCCTAGCATTGATGCTGTTCCCTAGTTGGGTCATAAAACATCTGCAAGAAAGAAGCCAAGCTCAGAGAGCACTAAGGACCCCACAGTTGTCGTCATTCTCCTCCTCCTCCTCCTCCTCCTCCCTTCTAGCACTGATGCTGTTCCCTAGTTGGGTCATAAAACGTCTGCAAGAAAACAGCCAAGCTCAGACATTACCACGGAGCTCACAGTTCTCCCTCCTTCTAGCACTGATGCTGTTCCCTAGTTGGGTCATAAAATGTCTGCAAGAAAACAGCTAAACTCAGACATCACCACGGAACTCACAGTTCTCCTTCTCCTTCCTCCTTCTAGCACTGATAATGTTCCTTAGTTGGGTCGTAAAACGTCTGCAAGAAAACAGGCAGACTGGGAAAGCACGGACACACACACACACCCCTCCAGTTCAACCCTGCGCTGCAACTATTCTCCTCCATCGGGAAGGGGCATATTCCAAAGGAGCAAGAGACCCTTCCGTTCAGGAGAAAGGAGGTGCAGACAGCTCCTCCCCCACCGTTCCCCAAGCATACGTTTCACCGATGAAATGATTATTTGTTCAATTTGTTTGGCATCGTCTCGCTGCAAGCAGATGCGCGGTGGGGACGTTCGCTTGCTTTTTTTTGGCAAGATCCCGTGTACAGGGGAGGAACGAGAATGGCGCCTCCTTGAAAGAATCACAAGAATGTCTTTCTTGGGTTTTGCAGCCTGGCATCACGGCTTTCGCTTGACCATCGAGGGGGCTGGACGGCTCGGCCGGTCACTCAGCAAGAAGAAAAACCAAATGCACAGGTATAGTATAGGGGGCACCTGGCTCAATAGTAGTAACTGTGAGAGGGATCGTGGAATCCTAGTGGAGAATCCCTTAAATAGGAGCCAGCCGTGTGCTGCAGCTGCCAAAAAAGCCAACACAGTGCTGGGCTGCATTAACAGAGGGAGAGAATCAAGACCACGTGAAGTGTTGATACCACTTTACAAGGCCTTGGTAAGGCCACACTTGGAATACGGCATCCAGTTTTGGTCCCCACGATGTAAAAAAGATGTTGAGACTCTAGAACAGTGGTTCTCAACCTGTGGGTCGGGACCCCATTTGGGATTGAACGACCATTTCATGGGGTCGCCAAACAAGGCTGTCCGCCATTTTTTCCCCCTTTTCTTTGGCCACGCCCCTGGCACCCGGTGATGTATAAGTGGTTGGGGGTCACCACAACATGGGGAACTGTATTATGGGGTCGCGGCATTAGAAAAGTTGAGAACCACTGCTCTAGAAAGAGTACAGAGAAGAGCAACAAAGATGATCAGGGGACTGGAGGCTAAAACCTATAAGGAACGGTTGCTGGAATTGGGTATGTCTCCTTTAACGAAGAGAAGGACGAGGGGGGACATGAGAGCAGTCTTCCAATATCTCAGGGGTTGCCCCAAAGAAGAGGGAGTCAAGCTATTCTCCAAAGCGCCTGAAGGCAGGACAAGAAGCAACGGGTGGAAACTCATCAAGGAGAGAAGCAACCTGGAACTAAGGAGAAACTTCCTGACAGTGGGAACAATTAACCAGTGGAACCACCTGCCTCCAGAAGCAGTGAATGCTCCAACACTGGAAGTTTTTAAGAGGAGACTGGACAGCCATTTGTCCGAAATGGTATACGGCAGTGGTTCTCAACCTGTGGGTCGGGACCCCATTTGGGGACGAACGACCATTTCACAGGGGTCGCCAAACAACGCAGTCCACCATTTTTTCCCCCTTTTCCTTAGCTTTGCTACTCCCTTTTATTCTATTGGCTTTTGAAAGCCAATAGAATAGACTCTCTTTCAAAAGCCAATAGGAATTGTCCAGGCTGTCTCTGCCCTGCTGAGCCCGCCAAAAGTCCTATTCTGCAAACGGTGCTGCACCAGTTGAGTAGTCCTCGACGTACGACCGGTTGAGTAGTCCTCGACTTACGACCGGTTGGGGGTCGCGGCATTAAAAAGGTTGAGAACCACTGGTATAGGGTTTCCTGCCTGAGCAGGGGGGGTTGGACTCGATGACCTCCAAGGTCCCTTCCAACTTTATCATCATCATCATCATCATCATTATTATTATTATTATTTTCTTAAAGGGACGGCTTGATCCTAAAATATCCCTTCAGTACCTCGCATAACGAAAGCCGGCTTCGCAGCACTTCCAGTTCCTTCCTGAGACTTTCCTTCTCATTTGCCGTCTCCGCCAGTCGGCGTTGAAGATCGTCTAACTGGAAGACGACAAAAAGAAAAAAGAAAAGAAAAACCAGGATTTTATTCCAATTGTGATGCTCGCCTGTTTGGGTGTCTGATGAATTCTTTTGAACGGACCGGAATGGCCTCGATATGGAATTCCAGCGTTCCGTTGCAGGAGTCCTTGATGGGACTTTAGCGTTACCGGCGAGTTGAGTTCACGCAGGATGCTGGACTAGACCCAGACAGGATGTGGAGTTTGTGGCTGGAAACTAGGAAAGTGGGTCTTTGAATGTGCAGTTGGAAAGAGGCTTCAGGCCTACATGTTCCCAATGAGGGGGTCAACCACTGTTTGGGTGTCACTTATAGCCATTGTGTCTGTCTTTCTTTCTTTCTTTCTTTCTTTCTTTCTTTCTTTCTTTCTTTCTTTCTTTCATTTTCTTCCTTCCTCTTTCTTTCTTTTTCTTCCTTTCTTTTCTTCCTTCCTTCCCTCCCTTTTTCTTTACTTCCTTTCTTTTCTTTTTTCTTCCTTTCCTTCTTTCCCCCTCCCTCCCTCCTTTCTTTCTTTCCTTCCTCTTTCTTTCTTTCTTTCTTTCTTTTTCTTTTCTTTCTTTCTTTCTTCCTTCTCTTTCTTTCTTTTTCTTCCTTCCTTCCCTCCTTTTCTTTCCTTCCTTTTTCTTTTTTCTTCCTTTCCTTCTTTCCCCCTTCCCTCCCTCCCTCCTTCCTTCCTTTCCTTCCTCTTTTTCTTTCTTTCTTTCTTTTTCTTCCTTTCTTTCTTTCTTCCTTCCTCTTTCTTTCTTTTTCTTCCTTCCTTTCCTCCTTTTCTTTCCTTCCTTCCCTCCCTTTTCTTCCTTCCTTCCCTCCCTTTTTCTTTCCTTCCTTTTTCTTTTTTCTTCCTTTCCTTCTTTCCTCCTTCCCTCCCTCCCTCCTTCCTTCCTTTCCTTTCTTTCTTTCTTTCTTTCTTTCTTCCATCCTTCCTTCCTCCCTCTTCCTCTTTTCTTCCTTCCTTCCTTCCTTTTCTTCCTTCCTTTCCTCTTTTTCTTTCCTTCCTTTTTCTTTTTTCTTCCTTTCTTTCTTTCCTCCTTCCCTCCCTCCCTCCTTCCTTCCTTTCCTTCTTTTTTTCTTTCTTTCTTTCCTTCCATCCTTTCCTTCCTTTCCTTCCTTTTTTCTTCCTTCCTTTTTTCTTCCTTCCTTCCTTCCCTCCCTCCCTGCCTCCCTCCTTCCTTCCTTGCAATTTGCAAGCCGCTGTTAGGCTCCTCGTCATATTGTGGTGTGTGACATCATTGGGAGTTCAACCCCATGCCTCTCATCTTGTGTTCCTCTGCTCCAGAATAAGACTCACCTGCTTCTCCAGAAGAGACAAAGAGCCGTTTGGGGTCTCCAGCTGCTCCCAGAGGCGAAAGAAGGGGAGGGAAAGAGGTAAAGTTCACTGCCAGGAAAATGTCTGGTTTATTGACCCATCTCTCGAAACCGCCTCCCCCCCCCCCCCCCGGTTCTGGATGACCAGAAGGTAAAATAAAGCATGGAATTAAATGCAGGAACCAAAAATCCATAATCAAGGCTCCCTGCAGGATTTATTTACTTAACGGTACGCTTTATGAATCCTCACTTGGAATACAGCATCCAGTTTTGGTCACCCACATTACCAAAAAATGTTGAGACTTTGGGGGGAAAAGTGCAAAGAAGAGCAAGCAAGTTGATTAAAGGCTTAGAGCAGTGGTTCTCAACCTTTTTAATGCCGCGACCCCCAACCGGTCGTAAGTCGAGGACTACTCAACCGGTCGTAAGTCGAGGACTACTCCACTGGTGCAGCACCGTTTGCAGAATGGGACTTTTGGGGGGCTCAGCAGGGCAGAGACAGCCTGGACAATTCCTATTGGCTTTGGAAAGCCAATAGAATTAGACTCTATTCAAGAGAGTCTATTCTATTGGCTTTCAAAAGCCAACAGAATAAAAGGGAGTCGCACAGCTAAGGAAAAGGGGAAAAAAATGGCGGACTGCGTGGTTTGGCGACCCCCGTGAAATGGTCGTTCGACCCCAAATGGGGTCCCGACCCACAGGTTGAGAACCACTGGAATAGAGACTAAAACCTATGAAGAACGGCTGCAGGATTTGGGTTTGGCTAGTCCAGAAAAAAGAAGAAATTGGTTTGACATGAAAGCAGGATTCCAGTATGTGAGGGGCTGCCCCAAAGAGGAGGAGGGGGGGGTCAACCTCTTCTCCAAAGCACCAGAGGGCAGGAGAAGAAACAACGGTTGGAAACTCATCAAGGAGGGAAGCAACCTGGAATTCAGGAGAAACTTCCTAACCGCGAGGAAAATTCGTGGAATAGCTTATCTTCAGAAGTGGTGGGTGCTTCATCACTCAAGGTTTGTAAGAAGGGACTGGACAGCCACCAGTCTGAAACGGCAGGGGGGGTCTCCTGCTTGAGCAGGGGGCTGGACTAGAAGACCTCCAAGGTCCCTTCCAGCTCTATTCTGATTGATTGAAATCTTTATCCGGGGGGGGGGGGGTCTTCAAACACTCACTTCCTGTTTCTGTTTGTCCTGGAGCTGCTCCAGTCCCCGGATCTTTTGGAGAAAGTGAGCCCTCTCCTGCCGCAGCTTCGCAATCTCCTCGTAGGCATCCCGATCCTCCTAGGAATAAAAAAGGTAGTTGGGGAACCTTGGGCCAGTCCCCTCATCTCTCTCTCTCTCTCTCTCTCTCTCTCTCTCTCTCTCTTTCCTTTCCTCTCTCTCTCTTTCTCCTTCTCTTTCCTCTCTCTCTCCTTTTCTCTCTCTGCTTTCTTTCTCCTCTCTCCCTTTCTCTCTCTCTCTCTCTCCCCTTTTCTCTCCTCTTTTTCTTTCTCCTTCTCTCTCTCTTTTTTCTCTCCTCTCTCCGTTCTCTCCTTTTCTCTCTCTCTCTCTCTCTCCTTCTCTCCTGTCTTCTCTCTCCTTTCTCTTTTTCCTTCTCTCCCTCTTCTCTCTCCTCTCTCTTTCTCTCTCCTTTTCTCTCTCTCCTCTCTTCTCTCGCCTTTCTCTTTCCCTCTCTCCTTCTCTCTCTCTCTCCTCTCTTTCCTTCTGTCTCTCTCCTCTCTCTCCTCTCTCTTTCTCTCTCTCCTTCTCTCTCCTCTTTCTCTCTCCTTTTCTCTCTCCTCTCTTCTCTCGCCTTTCTCTCTTTCCTTCTCTCTTTCTTTCTCTCCTCTCTTTCCTGTCTCTCTCCTCTCTCTCCTTCTCTTTCTCTTCCTTCTCTTTCTCTCTTTTTTCTCTCTCTCCTTTTCTCTCTCTCTCCTTTTCTCTCTCCTTCTCTTTCTCTCCTCTTGTCTCCTTTCTCCCTTTCTCTCTCTCTCCTTCTCTCTCTCCTCTCTTTCTCTCTCCTTTTCTCTCTCTCCGCTCTTCTCTTGCCTTTCTCTCTTTCCTTCTCTCCTTCTCTCTCTCCTCTCTTTCCTTCTGTCTCTCTCCTCTCTCTCCTTTCTCTCTCTCTCTCTCTCTTTCTCTCTCCTTCTGTCTCTCCTCTTCTCTCCTTTCTCCCTTTCTCTCTCTCCTTCTCTCTCTCCTCTCTTTCTCTCTCCTTTTCTCTCTCTCCGCTCTTCTCTTGCCTTTCTCTCTTTCCTTCTCTCCTTCTCTCTCTCCTCTCTTTCCTTCTGTCTCTCTCCTCTCTCTCCTTTCTCTCTCTCTCTCTCTCTTTCTCTCTCCTTCTGTCTCTCCTCTTCTCTCCTTTCTCCCTTTCTCTCTCTCCTTCTCTTTCTTTCTCTCCTCTCTTTCCTTCTGTCTCTCTCCTCTCTCTCTTTCTTTTTCTCTCTCTCCTTCTCTTTCTCTTCCTTCTCTTTCTCTCTTTTTTCTCTCTCTCCTTTTCTCTCGCCTTCTCTTTCTCTCTCCTTCTATCTCTCCTCTTGTCTCCTTTCTCCCTTTCTCTCTCTCCTTCTCTCTCCTCTTTCTCTCTCCTTTTCTCTCTCCTCTCTTCTCTCGCCTTTCTCTCTTTCCTTCACTCCTTCTCTCTCTCCTCTCTTTCCTTCTCTCTCTCTCTCTTCTATCTCCTTCTCTTTCTCTCTCCCCTTCTCTTTCTCTCCTTTTTCTCTCTCTCCTTCTCTTTCTCTCTCCTTCTATCTCTCCTCTTGTCTCCTTTCTCCCTTTCTCTCTCTCCTTCTCTCTCTCCTCTCTTTCTCTCTCCTTTTCTCTCTCTCCGCTCTTCTCTTGCCTTTCTCTCTTTCCTTCTCTCCTTCTCTCTCTCCTCTCTTTCCTTCTCTCTCTCTCCTCTCTCTCCTTCTCTTTCTCTCTCCTTCTTTCTCTCCTTTTTCTCTCTCTCCTTCTCTCTCCTTCTATCTCTCCTCTTGTCTCCTTTCTCCCTTTCTCGCTCTCTCCTTCTCTCTCTCCTCTCTCTTTCTCTCTCCTTTTCTCTTTCTCTCCTATCTCTCTCTCGCCTTTTCTCTCTCTCTCTCTCTCTCTCTCAGCCTGACCCACCTCACTGGGTTGTTGTAGTTGTAGGAAAAATAGCTGGAGGAACAGGTATTAGGGATGTTCAGCGTCTTGAGTTATTTATAACAACTAATAAAGGTGAGATTAAAAAATAATTTAAAGATTTAAAAAAGAGAGACTCAGGTTGGCTGTTGGCGACTCCTTGGGGCTTGCAGTGATGTCATTATAAGTACATCATTACAGCCTCTTTTAACAGATTTAGCCAGAGCTTCTAAGAGGCAGCTTGTCAACCCACAGCCTTTTTGAAGTTGTGAACGGCACCAGGGCAAAGGACAGGAAGTCTTCGTCTTACAACCGTTCGTTTAGTAACCGTTTGAAGTGACACTGGCATTGAAAAACAGTGAATTATGGCCGTTTTTCACTGTTGCATCGTTCCCCATGATCATATGATCAAAATTCAGAGGCTTGCCAACTGACATGTACTTAGGATGACTGCAGCATCCCGGGGTCACATGACCCTCTCTCGCGACCTCTTGACAAGCAAAACCAATGGGGAAAGACAGATAGTGCCACTGGGCACTATCTAACAAAATGAAATTCAAGAAAAGGCAAGAAAAGGCAAGAAAAACCAAATGCACAGGTATAGTATAGGGGGTACCTGGCTCAATAGTAGTAACTGTGAGAGGAATCTCGGAGTCCCAGTGGACAATCACTTAAATATGAGCCAGCTGTGTGCTGCAGCTGCCAAAAAGGCCAACACAGTGCTAGGCTGCATTAACAGAGGGATAGAATCAAGATCACGTAAAGTGTTAATACCACTTTACAAGGCCTTGGGAAGGCCACACTTGGAATACTGCATCCAGTTTTGGTCACCACGATGTAAAAAAGATGTTGAGACTCTGGAAAGAGTACAGAGAAGAGCAACAAAGATGATCAGGGGACTGGAGACTAAAACATATAAGGAACGGTTTCTGGAATTGGGTATGTCTAGTTTAACGAAGAGAAGGACAAGGGGGGACATGATAGCAGTATTCCAATATCTCAGGGGCTGCCATAAAGAAGAGGGAATTAAGCTATTCTCCAAAGCACCTGAAGGCAGGACAAGAAGCAACGGATGGAAACTAACCAAGGAGAGAAGCAACCTGGAACTAAGGAGAAACTTCCTGACAGTGAGAACAATGAATCAGTGGAACAACCTGCCTCCAGAAGATGTGAATGCTCCAACACTGGAAGTTTTTAAGAAGAGACTGGACAGCCATTTTTCTGAAATGGTGTAGGGTTTCCTGCCTGAGCAGGGGGTTGGACTAGATGACCTCCAAGGTCCCTTCCAACTTTATTATTATTATTATTATTACTACTACTACTACTACTATTAATTGTCTTTTAATTCTAATGTTACATTTACTGCACAACCCCGTTACTTAGCAACTGCAATAATTTGCTCATCAACTGTGGCAAGCAAGGTCGTAAAATGGGGCAAAGTTCACAACATCTGTCTCACTTAGCAACAGAAATTTTGGGCTCAATTGTAGTCATAAGTCAAGAACAAGCCAACTTCGGTGTATTTTTTTTTTCTGCTTTGTATTTTGCTTTCTTAATTAAATCTCTCTGGGTTCCCGTTTCACTAAATATCCTAAAAGGCTAAAGGAATAGAAATAGAAATAGAATAGAGAATGGAATGGAATAGAAAATGGAATGGAATGGAATGGAATGGAATGGAATGGAATAGAATAGAATAGAATAGAATAGAATAGAATAGAATCTTTATTGAGAATAGAATAGAATAGAATAGAATAGAATAGAATAGAATAGAATAGAATCTTTATTGAGAATAGAATAGAATAGAATAGAATAGAATAGAATAGAATAGAATCTTTATTGAGAATAGAATAGAATAGAATAGAATAGAATAGAATAGAATAGAATAGAATCTTTATTGAGAATAGAATAGAATAGAATAGAATAGAATCTTTATCGAGAATAGAATAGAAAAAGGAATAAAATAGAAAAAGGAATAGAATAGAATAGAATGGAGTGGAGTGGAGTGGAGTGGAATGGAATGGAATAGAATAGAATAGAATAGAATAGAATAGAATAGAATAGAATAGAATAGAATAGAATAGAATAGAATAGAATCTTTATTGAGAATAGAATGAAATAGACTAGAATAGAATAGAATAGAATAGAATAGAATAGAATAGAATAGAATAGAATAAGGAATAAGGAATAGAATAGTATATAGAATAGAATAGAATAGAATAGAATAGAATAGAATCTTTATCGAGAATAGAATAGAAAAAGGAATAAAATAGAAAAAGGAATAGAATAGAATGGAGTGGAGTGGAGTGGAGTGGAATGGAATGGAATGGAATGGAATGGAATAGAATAGAATAGAATAGAATAGAATAGAATAGAATAGAATAGAATAGAATAGAATAGAATAGAATCTTTATTGAGAATAGAATGAAATAGAATAGAATAGAATAGAATAGAATAAGGAATAAGGAATAGAATAGAATAGAATAAGGAATAAGGAATAGAATAGAATAGAATAGAATAGAATAGAATAGAATAGAATAGAATAGAATAGAATAGAATAGAATAGAATAGAATCTTTATCGAGAATAGAATAGAAAAAGGAATAGAATAGAATAGAATGGAGTGGAGTGGAGTGGAATGGAATAGAATTGGAAAAGAACAGAATAGAATAGAACAGAATAGAATAGAATAGAATAGAATAGAATAGAATAGAACAGAACAGAACAGAACAGAACAGAACAGAATAGAATAGAACAGAACAGAACAGAACAGAACAGAACAGAACAGAATAGAATAGAATAGAAGAGTTGGAAGGGACCTTGGAGGTCTTCTAGTCCAACCCCTATACCATTTCCACCTTCCAGAATGGTTTCCCACTTTGTAGTTGAGCCAAGAGCCCTGGATATCCCAGTCAGGCCCCTCCCCCCACTCCCCATGCCAGAATGGGGCCTTTTCAGCCCCAGGCACAGGGGGGCTCCCCGTCTCTTTCTCTAATGGACAATCTGGGCACAGGAGCCCATCGGCCTCCTACCTGGCTGGGGTTCCCGCTGGGCGGTGGTGGGGGTGGGGGTGCCTTCCGCTTCCTTGGACTGTTGCTCTTCTCCTTGCAGAGAGACTGTCGGGAGGAAGACGCCTGAGGACGGAGAGAAGCAGGAGGGCGGAGAGGAAGAGGGGAGAAAAAGGAGGGAGGGAGGGAGGGAAAAGGGAGGGAGGGGGAAGGGGGAAAGAGAAGGGGAGGGGAGGAAGGAAGAGAAGGGAAAAAAAGAGCGAAGAAGGGAGGGAGAGAGCAATGGGGAAGAGGGAAGGGAGAGGGGGGGAAGAAGAGGAGGGACAAAGGGAGGGGAGGGATGGAGAGAGAAGAAAGAGAAGGGTGGGAGGGAGAAAGAAGGAAGAAGGGAGAGAGGGGGCGAGGAAGGGAGGGAGAGAGGGAGGGGAGGGAAAAGAGAAGGGAGAGAGGGAGGGAAGAGGGGAGGATGAATGGAGGAGAGGGATGGAGAATGGAGAAAGAAGGGAGAAAGAGAAGGGAGGGAGGGATGGGGAGAAAGAGGAGGGAGAGAAGGGAGAGAGGGAGAGGAGGGGGAGAAGGGAGGGGAGGGATGGCGAGAGGAGAAAGAAGGGAGGGTGAAAGAGGGAATGAGAAAGAGAAAGGAGAGAGGGAAAAAGAGAATGGAGGGAGGAAAAGACGGAGGGAGGGGGAGAAAGGGGAAGGAGAAAGAGAAGGGAGGGAAGGATGGGGAGAAAGGAGGGAGGGAAGGAGAGAAGGGAGGGAGGGAGAGAGGAGAAAGAAGGGAGGGAGGGAGAGAAGGGAGGGAAGGATGGGGAGAAAGAGGAGGGAGGGAGGGAGAGAAGGGAGAGAGGGAGGGTAGGGGGGGAAGGGAGGGGAGGGATGACGAGAGGAGAAAGAAGGAAGGGTGAAAGAGGGAATGAGAAAGAAAAAGGAGAGAGGGAAAAAGAGAATGGAGGGAGAGAAAGAGGAAGGGAGGGGAGAAAGGGGAGGGAGAAAGAAAGGAGGGAGGGAGAGAAGGGAGAGAGGGAGGGGAGGGGACAAAGGGAGGGGAGGGAGAGAGGAGAAAGAGAAGGGAGAGAGGGAAAAAGAGAATGGAGGGAGGGGGAGAAAGGAGAGGGAGAAAGAGAAGGGAGAGAGGAAGAGGGGGAGGATGAAGGGAGGGGAGGGAGGGCGAGAGGAGAAAGAAGGGAGGGTGAAAGAGAAGGGAGAGAGGGAATGAGAAAGAGAAAGGAGAGAGGGAAAAAGAGAATGGAGGGAGGGAGGGAGGGAAAGGACGTGGGGCCAGGGAAAGGGGGAGAGAGGGAGGGAGGGAGGGGGAAGGGGGGAGGAGCATTAAGACCTCCCAGCTGCTGCCGCCGCCCGGGAGCCCTTTGGGGGTGGGAAAGATCACCTGAGAAGACAGGTTGCCTGACTCTTCCTCTGCAAAAAAGACAAAAACATCAAAGGGATATTTCAGGTCAGAGCGGCTGGCAAGCAGGCCTCCAATTTGGGGGGTGGGGTGGGGGGGTTGACCCAGGGCCCCTGGGAAACAGCCCCCAAACAGCCGGATGCCTAAACTAGGGGAAGGGGCTTATGGAGACCCCCCCATCCTCATTGCTGGGAGGTCTGTCAAGGGGGGTCTCCGGACACGATGCCACTTTGGATAGGAACATACCAGGGCTTTGATGACAGCTGGTTTACAGGTGGGGGAGAGGCTAGAAACCCGGTTAGTTAGGGTCTGGTTAGTTTTCCGCTTGCCGAGGAGAAGACGGCAACAGACCGAGGTGGAACTGCTAGACGGGCAGTCCTCGACTTACGACCCCAATTTCCGTGGCTCAACGAGACCCTCGTTAAGCGTGTCGTGCCCCACTTTACAGCCTGTCTTGGCCGAAGTTGTTAAGCGAGGCGGTTGTTAAGTGAATCCGGTTTGGCTGGTCAGAAGGTCGCAAAAGGGGGACCGCCTGAAACCCCCCCCCGGGGACGCTGCAACTGTCATAATCGTGAGTCGGTCGCCCAGCGTCTGGAATTTCAATCACATGACCACGGGGACGCTGCAACAGCCGTTTAATCTGAAAAACGGTCGTCACTCCCTTTTTTTCGATGCCGTTGTAACTTAGAACGGTCACTAAACGAACGGTTGTAAGTCCGGGATGACCTGGACAAGGCAGGCTCTTGTCCTCTCACACTCTTAAGAGGGTAGAAAAAGAAGCAGGGACTTGACACTAGGCTAGTCCTCAACCCGCAACCATAACTGAGACCAGAATTTTAATCGTTAAGTCATGACGGTCGTAAGTCGAGGTACCCACAGGTGACTTTTACCACCCTTTTTTAATGCGTTCATGAAACGAACCATGTGGTCGTAAGTCTGAATCGATTTTCCAGAAAAACGTCATCTGTCGCAGTTACATGATGGCGGGAGGATGCAACCAGTCGTAAATGTGAGCAGGAGGGCAAACATCCAAAATGTGGTCATGTGGTCAGTGACATTTTACGACATCCCGAAGTGCTTTACAAGCCATAAATCGCCTTTTGTGAAGCCATTCCTTAAACAATCGAACATGCATCATAAGTACATCATAAAGAGACTTTAGGGTCTGTTGGGGTAGAGCAGGGCTCTTCCAACTTGGCCCTTTGATGACTGGTGGACTTCAACTCCCAGAATTCCTCAGTCGGCCATTTTGATGAAACTGCCGGCTTGGATCCAGACCAGGGGTCTTCAAACTTGGCCCTTTGATGTCTTGTGGACTTCAACTCCCAGAATTCCTCAGTCGGCCATTTTGATGAAACTGCGGGCTTGGATCCAGACCAGGGGTCTTCAAACATGGCCCTTTGATGACTGGTGGACTTCAACTGGCTGAGGAATTCTGGGAGTTGAAGTCCACCAGTCATCAAAGGGCCAAGTTTGAAGACCCCTGGGGTAGAGAGTCCTGACAGTAGAAACCGCCAGCCAGTAAAATACAGCTAGTCCCCGACTTACGACAGTTCATTTAGTGACCGTTCAAAGTTACACCACCACTGACTTAGGAGCGTTGTTCACACTTAATGCCCGTGGCAGCATCCCCATGGTCAGTATTCAGACGCTTGGCAACTGACTCATATTCAGGACAGTGGCTGTGTCCCAGAGCCTGAGCCCTGGGGGCGCAGTGGTTAGGATGCAGTACTGCAGGCTAATTCTGCGGAGTGCCGACTGCCAGCACTTTGGCAGTTCGATCCTGACGGGCTGAAGGTGGACTCAGCCTTCCGTCCTTCCGAGGTTGGTAAAATGAGGACCCAGATTATTGGAGGCAAATAGGCTGACTCTGTAAACTGCTTAGAGAGGGCTGAAAAGGACTGTGAAGAGCTATATAAGTCTAAGTGCCTATTCTATTCTATTTTCTATTCTATTCTATATTCTATTTTCTATTCTATTTTCTATTCTATTTTCTGTTCTATTCTATTGTCTATTCTATTCTATTTTCTATTCTATTCTATATTCTATTTTCTATTCTATTTTCTGTTCTATTCTATTCTATATTCTATTCTATATTCTATTCTATTCTATATTCTGTTTTCTATTCTATTTTCTATTCTATTCTATTTTCTATTCTATTCTATTTTCTATTCTATTCTATTTTCTATTCTATTCTATTTTCTATTCTATTTTCTATTCTATTCTATTTTCTATTCTGTTCTATTCTATTTTCTATTCTATTCTATTTTCTATTTTCTATTCTATTTTCTGTTCTATTATATTCTATTTTCTATTCTATTTTCTATTCTATTCTATATTCTATTTTCTATTCTATTTTCTATTCTATTTTCTGTTCTATTCTATTGTCTATTCTATTCTATTTTCTATTCTATTCTATATTCTATTTTCTATTCTATTTTCTGTTCTCTTCTATTTTCTATTCTATTCTATATTCTATTCTATTCTATATTCTTTCTATTCTATTTTCTATTCTATTTTCTATTCTATTTTCTATTCTATTTTCTATTCTATTTTCTATTCTATTCTATTTTCTATTCTATTCTATTTTCTATTCTATTTTCTATTCTAGTCTGTATTCTATTTTCTATTCTATTTTCTGTTCTATTCTATTCTATTTTCTATTCTATTTTCTATTCTAATCTATATTCTATTTTCTATTCTATTTTCTGTTCTATTCTATTCTATTTTCTATTCTATTCTATATTCTATTTTCTATTCTCTGTTCTATTCTATTCTATTTTCTATTCTATTCTATATTCCATTCTATTCTATATTCCATTCCATTCTATTCCATATTCCAATTCCAATTCTATTCTTTTGAATTCATTTCTAATTCTATTCTTTCTATCCCATTCTACTCTAGTCTAGACTTTTGGTGACGCAGTTGTTAGAATACAGTATTGCATGGTGACTCTGCTCACTGTCAGGAGTTTGACCCTGACTGGCTCAAGGTGGACTCAGCCTTCCATCCTTCTGAGGTTGGTAAAGGAGGACCCAGATTATTGAGGGCAAATATGCTGGCTCTGTAAACCGCTTAGAGAGGGGCTATAAAGCCCCGTGAAGCGGTATATAAATGCTATTGCTAATTGTCATCTATCTATCATCTATCTCTCTGTCTACTTATCTCTATCTTCTGTCTATCTACAATATCTATCTATCACTGTCTATGTCAAACCTGACTCGATTCCATAATTGCCTACAACCACGTTCCCTCGCAGCTTTGCCAGTGATGGGAAGAGGGAGGTGAATTCCTAAGAGCGGGAGGAAGAGGCTATGGAATGCAAGTGAACCGTCAGTTGTCGGGGAGACTTTATCTACCAAGGTCGAGTGATGAAGAACTTTTGACCGGAGCAGACAGTTTTTTCCCAAAGCAATAGAACTTGGTGGTTTCTTGCAGATGTTTCACAACACCCAGTGCACTAATGATGTTACCTAGCTGGGTACTATAACGGCTGCAAGAAAACAGTCAAGCTCAGAGAGCACCAAGGACCTTGGATGTAAAAAGTCCTTCACGGGGTCAACGCAAGGGGAGAAAGCCCACCTCCAATCCAGCTGAATGACATTGTGAGTTTCTTTCTGGCTAATCCAGACTTCTCTTTGAAGGCCCCTGTCCCAATTCCTCCGGGGAAGCCAGCAAACCCTCTTCCTTCAACAGGACTAGCCTCAGGGAAGCAGAACTGGGGTCTTACCGCTGGCCCAAGAGTGGCGTTGGGCAGCCTCTTGGAGATAATGTTGAATGAGGGCATTGCCCATCGCAGCTCCGTAGTGTGCGGCATCGCGGCCCGTGGCATCGATGAGGCCGACCCGTGCCCCCCCGTGGATAAGCGCCTCAACTGTCTCCACACTGCCGTTCTCACATGCCACCATCAGGGCTGTTCTAAAGCAAAGAGAGGCACCGTCACTTCGAGGAGAGGACCTCGAGATTAATATTACAGAAGTAACTCTCAAAATACTACCAAGTGTTAGTCAAATGGGGACCTTGGATACTTTGAAAACTTTTTGAGACTGTCCAGTTTGTTACCTAGTTGGGTCATGAAATGTCTGCAAGAAAACCACCAAGCTCAGAGAATGCCAAGGACTCCACAGTTGTCCTCCTCCTCCTCCTCCTCCTCCTCCTCCTCCTCCTCCTCCTCCTCCTCCTCCTCTTCTCTCTTCTCTACAATCCCCACCCCCTTCTAGCACTGATATTGTTACCTAGTTGGGTCATGAAATGTCTGCAAGAAAACCACCAAGTTCAGAGAGCACCAAGAACCTCACAGCTTTCTTCTTCTTCCTCCTCCTCCTCCTCCTCCTCCTCCTCCTCCTCCTCCTCCTCCTCCTCCTCCTCCTCCTCCTCTTCTCTCCTCTCTACAATCCCCACCCCCTTCTAGCACTGATAATGTTACCTAGTTGGGTCATGAAATGTCTGCAAGAAAACCACTAAGCTCAGAGAGCATCAAGGACTCCACAGTTGTCATCCTCCTCCTATTATCTCCTCGGGTGTGGATTTCATCCTGGGCTCCCTGCAGCTTCTGAAGAGCGAGGTCGCCCGAGGATCTCGAGATGTTTCCAAAGCTGGACATCCCAGCATGGACCAGTTGGACAATTCGAGAAACAAACTGCAGCCATCGACACCCCCCCCCCCCCGGAAAATCTTCTTTTAAAAGATGACATTTAGCCAGTGGTGGGATTCAAATAGGGGAACAACCGGTTCTCTGTGTGGATGCCGCTTCCGGATGTCCGTTCTGGGCCTGGGCCACAAAAAATTAGCTACCGGTTCTGCCAAAGTGGTGCAAATTGGCTGAATCCCACCACTGGAGGAAGGAAAGTATTTGATGAGAAAGGAAGGAAGGACAGAAGGAGGGAAGGAAGGAAGGAAGGAAGGAAGGAAGGAAGGGGAAGGAGGGAGGGAGGGAGGAAAAGGAAGGAAGGAAGGAAGGAAGGAAGGGAAGGAAGGAAGGAAGGGGAAGGAGGAGGGAGGGAGGGGAGGAAGGAAGAAAAGGGAAGGAGGGAGGGAGGGAGGAAAAGGAAGGAAGGAAGGGGAAGGAGGGAGGGAGGGAGGAAAAGGAAGGAAGGAAGGAAGGAAGGAAGGAAGGAAGGAAGGAAGGAAGGGGAAGGAGGGAAGAGAGAGGAAGGAGGAGGAAGGAAGGAAGGAAAGGAAGGAAGGAAGGAAGAAGGAAGGAAGGAAGGAAGGAAGGAAGGAAGGAAGGAAAGGGAAGGAGGGAGGGAGGGAGGGAGGAAAAGGAAGGAAGGGGAAGGAGGGAGGGAGGGGAAGGAAGAAAAGGGAAGGAGGGAGGGAGGGAGGAAAAGGAAGGAAGGAAGGAAGGAAGGAAGGAAGGAAGGAAGGAAGGATGGAAGGATGGAAGGAAGGAAGAAAAGGGAAGGAGGGAGGGAGGGAGGGAGGGAGGAAAAGGAAGGAAGGAAGGAAAGGGAAGGAGGGAAGGAGAGAGGGGAAGGAAGGAAGGAAGGAAGGAAGGAAAGGGAAGGAGGGAGGGAGGAAAAGGAAGGAAGGGGAAGGAGGGAGGGAGGGGAAGGAAAAAAAGGGAAGGAGGGAGGGAGGGAGGAAAAGGAAGGAAGGAAGGAAGGAAGGGGAAGGAGGGAGGGAGGGAGGGGAAGGAAGGAAGATATTTGATGGGGAAGGAAGGACAGAAAGAGGAAAAGAAGGGAGGGAGAGAGAGAGAGGGGGAGAGAGGGAGGCAGTGGTGGGATTCAAATAAGTGAACAACCGGTTCTCTGTGTGGATGCCGCTTCCGGAAGTCTATTCTGGGCCTGGGCCACAAAAAATTAGCTACCGGTTCTGCCGAACTGGTGCGAACTGGCTGAATCCCACCACTGCATTTATCCAGTTAGTACGTGCATAATACCCATCCGGTTATTGTATGAACTGTATAGAATCTCACAGTTGCAATGGATATCAATACAATACTGTAAATCAGTACAGGCAGTCCTCAACTTACGACCGTTCATTTAGTGACCATTCGGAGTTACAACGGCACTGGAAAAAGTGACTGAGGACCGTTTTTCACACTTACGACCGTTGTTGCAGCATCTCCATGGTCACGTGATCGAAATTCAGAGGCTTGGCGAGGGACTTTAATTGTCAGAAGGTTGCAACAGGGGGTCACGTGACTCCTAGGGACATGGCCACCGTCGTAATTACGAGTCAGTTGCCCAGCGTCCGAATTATCCCAGGACCGTGGGGGGGATGCTGCAACGGTCGTAAGTGTGAAAAACGGCCCTAAGTCCCTTTTTTTCACAGGTGTCGTAACTCCCAAACGGTCAGTAAACGAACTGTTGTAAGTCGTAACGAGGTTGGAGCATCGTGTCACATGGAACGAGAGAGACAAATCACCCGGCCTCCCCCCCCCCAGTTTCCTCACCGGCCTTTCTGGTCTCTGGCGTTAACGGCAGCTCCGCGGTGTAGTAAGTAGTGGCAGAGCTCCGAGTGGTTCATCCTGGCGGCCAGCATGAGAGGGGTCGCCCCATCCTGGCAGGAGAAAGCAGGGAACACAATGCCCGGTCAGTTAAAAACATCTGCACCTTCATCATAGCACGTTCGTCGCCACTGGGTGGGAAGCATCCACTCGGAAACGGGAGGAGGTGAAGGAGGAGAAGGAGGAGGAAATGGAAGACGAGGAGGAGGAGGAAAAGGAGAGAAAAGAAGACAGAAGGGGCTGCTTATGGGAGGCAGGACAGGAGGAGGAGGAAGGTGGAGAAGGAGAAAAGAGAAGAAGGAGAAGAGGAAAAGGAGGAAAGAGAAGGAAAGGAGAAGAGGAAGGAAGGAGAAGGGGAAAAGGAAACGGGAGGAAGTGGAGGAGGAAATGGAAGATGAGGAGGAGGAAAAGGAGAGAGAAAAAGAGAGAGAAGAGAAGGAGAGGACAGTAAAGGATGAGATAAAACAGGAGGGTATGGAGGAGGAGGAGGAGGAGGAGGAGGAGGAGGAGGAGGAGGAGGAGGAGGAGGAGGAGGAGGAGGAGGAGAGAAAGAGGAGAAGAGGAAAGAAGAACGAGAAGAGGAAACAGGAGGAGGAGGAGGAGAAAAAGAAATGGGAGGAGGTGAAGGAGCAGAAGGAGGAGGAAATGGAAGACGAGGAGGAGGAGGAAAAGGAGAAAAGAAGACAGAGAAGAAGAGAAGGAGAGGAAAGTAGATGAGAGAAAACAGGAGAGTATGGAGAAGGCGGAGGAGGAGGAGGAGGAGGAGGAGAAGGAGGAGGAGGAGGAGGGAAAGACGGTCTCCTTCCTCCACCTGAAGGGGCTGGTTATCGGCCGGTTATTGCCACTGGAGAAGGAGAAAAGGAAACAGGAGGAGGTGAAGGAGGAAGAAATAGAAGATGAGGAGGAAAAGGAGAGAAAAAACAAAGAGGAGAGGAAAGTAAAGGATGAGAGAAAACAGGAGGATATGGAGTGGGGAAGAGAAGACGAAAGAGAAGAAGAGGAAACAGGAGGAAGGAGAAGAAGGCCAAAAAAGAGAAGAGGAAAGGAGAAAAGGAAACAGGAGGAGGAGAAGAAGGAAGAGAAGAAGGAGGAAATGGAAGAGGAGGAGAAAAAAGACAAAGAGAAGAAGAGAGGAAAGCAAGGGATAAGAGAAAACAGGAGGCTATGGAGGAGGAGGAGGAGGAGGAGGAGGAGGAGGAGGAGGAGGAAGAGGAGGAGGAGGAGGAGAAAGAGTGATACAGAAGGAGAAGTGGGAAGGAGAAGAGGAAAGAAAAGAAGGAGGAAACAGGAGGAGGAGGAAATGGAAGAGGAGCAGGACGAAAAAGAGAGAAAAGAGAAGAAAGACAAAGGAGAAGAAAAGGATAAGAGAAAACAGGAGGAGGAGGAGGAGGAGGATGGGAGAAGGAGGAAATGTTATTTTTTTTTACAAATTACACACCTGTCATGGTTCTGACTGACGAAACTCTTCAAAAGAACTTCGAGGCACTGTTTACCTTAAAGAATCTTTATTCGAGTGGCATGGCATCGGCATGGACACGGTCAAAGCCAAAAATCTGGATTCCCCTCCCCTGAGCCCATAGTATCAAAGCACCATTCCCTCCTCCGATTTGTAGTCCTAAATTACATTCCCCAATTCGCTTGAAATGCGGGCCTTCCCTCCAGTTCTCCAACCCGCCACTTCTTTTCATCTCTTGTTCCAAACAACCTTGAATCACACACTACTACGGTCTTGTTATGTCTCACTAAGTCCCATCCACGTTCTTCCTCCTCCCCCCTCCCCTAGTATCATCTAATTCTAACTCTAAGAGAAACACCCAAATTAAGAGAAATGGCTGCATCTCCACATGTTGTCAAAGCAAGAACATTCGAGGTTAGCAGCATTGACAACACCCTTTCGATAGCCTTTCAGGGGCCAATCAGAATCACAGCCTGCTTGCAGGCCTAGGGAGTTACCGTATTTTCCGGCCTATGACCCGGCATATAAGACGGCCCCCGACTTTGGCGTCGATTTCCATGCCTAGAAAGTCGTCTTATCCACCGGAAACTACCATGATTTCTGGCGTATAAAACGACTCGGCGTATAAGACGACCCCCAACTTCGCCGCCGATTTCCACGCTTTAGAAAGTCGTCTTATACACCGGAAAATACGGTAAGTCAATCCTTCCATCCGGTTGGGAGAACAAAAGAAGGAAAAATGAAGGGACGCTAGAAAGGGGTCAACCTGACCCCGAACGGGCCAGGATGGAGGTCGGGCAGACTCTTACCTGATCCTTGGTGTTCAAGGATGCCTTGAAGTCACAAAGAATTTCCAAACAAGAGATAGAACCATGGATGGCTGGAAAGATGAAAAATAAAAAGAGGGCAAAAGAGACACTTTCTTAACAGGAACGGTCTTTCACTGCAAGACAAACCAAATGAGAATCCATGCAGCTTCATTGACAATCGTTGGGATCCTTTTGTAAGATTTACTGTATTTTCCAGCGTTGAAGACGACTCGGCGTATAAGACGATCCCCGACTTCGGAGAAGATTTGCATGGTTTAGAAAGTCGTCTTATACGCCGGAAAATACGGTACCTGCAATTGACAATTTCCTGTTCTCTTGAGAATGGGGTGCAACGTACTTACGGCCGCAACGGAGCCCCAATTTTATGCCGCTCAGCGAGGCATTTGTGAAGCGCATTTTGTCCCACTTTACAACCTTTCTTGCCAAAACGCGTTCAGTGAATGACTGCAGTTATTCTGTTAGTAAACCGGTTATTAAATGAATCTTGCTCCCCCCCCCATTGACTTTGGTTGTCGGAAGGTCGCAGAAGGGGATCACGGGACCCTCCCCCCTGGGACTCCGCAGCCGTCATAAATACGAGTCGGGTGCCATGCGTCTGAATTTTGATCGCGTGATCATGGGGGATGCTGCAACGGTCGTAAGTCTGAAAAACAGTTGTAGGTCACTTCTTTCAGCACTGTTGTAACTGTGAACGGTCATTAAATGAACGGTTGTAAGTGGAGGACTACCTGTGCCGTGGGTTTTAAACTTCAAGGGGAAGGATGCAACTTCCAGGCCTAAACAATTCCAAGTGACAGTCACTTAGATGTGAGCCAGCCGTGTGTGCAGCTGCCAGAAAGGCCAACATAGTGCTAGGCTGCATTAACAGAGGGATAGAATCAAGATCATGTGAAGTATTAATACCACTTTACAATGCCTTGGTAAGGCCACACTTGGAATTCTGCATCCAGTTTTGGTCACCACGATAGAAAAAAGATGTTGAGACTTTAGAAAGAATGCAGAGAAGAGCAACAAAGAGGATTGGGGGACTGGATGGTAAAACATATTGCTGGAATTGGGTATGTCTAGTTCAGGGGTAGGCAACCTTGGCTCTTTTATGACTCGTGGACTGCTGGCTCAGGAATTCTGGGAGTTGAAGTCCACGAGTCATAAAAGAGCCAAGGTTGCCTACCCCTGGTCTAGTTTAATGAAGAGAAGGACCAGGGGGGACATTATAGCAGTCTTCCAGTATCTCAGGGGCTGCCCCAAAGAAAAGGGAGTCAAGCTGTCCTCCAAAGCACCTGAAGGCAGGACAAGAAGCAGCGGATGGAAAATAATCAAGGAGAGAAGCAACCTAGAACTAAGGAGAAACTTCCTGACAGTGAGAACAATTAATCAGTGGAACAACCTGCCTCCAGAAGCAGTAAATGCTCCAACACTGGAAGTTTTTAAGAAGAGACTGGACAGCCATTTGTCCGAAATGGGATAGGGTTTCCTGCCTGAGCAGGGGGTTGGACTAGATGACCTCCAAGGTCCCTTCCAACTCTTGTTATTCTACTCTGTACATTATACTGCATTGGTGAGGCCACACTTGGAATAGTGTGTCCAGTTTGGGTCATCATGATACAAAAAAGAGGGTGAGACTCTAGAAAGAGTGTGGAGAGCTTACCTGCATGGTGGATTGCCGTCCTTCCCTGGCTATCGGCTACATCAACGGGGCAGGAAGACTTAGAAGCGAGAGAGAAAAACGTAGTGTCAAAAGATGCAATGCAAGTTGGATTCTGACGTTTGTTTATTTGGGAGTAACCCTGATCAGAATAAGAGACGTTTGCAAAAATCTCAGTGTTACCTTCCTCCCAGTCCAGGAAATTAGTCAGATTTCATCACCTTTTTTCTCCTATCTTCTCCATGGCCTTCTGGAATTGCTCTAAATCTTAAATAAAGTCATCTTTCTCTTAGTTCTCCCCAGTAACGCCAAATGCTTCTCCATCTCTCTGTTTATCACTTGTGCCTTGCTTTCCAAAACTTCCACTTTATCCATAATTTAATTCTCCAGCCATTCCACCAAAGAGTCTTCAATCTTCTTAAACTTAAACTTAAACTTGAACTTGAACGTAAACTTAAACTAAGGAAAAACTTCCTAACAGTGAGGAGAATTAACGAGTGGAACAGCTTGCCTCCAGAAATCGTGGGCGCTCCATCAATGGAGGTTTTTAAGAAGAGACTGGACAGCCACTTGTCTGAGACAGTATAGTTCTCCTGCTTGAGTGTGGGGCTGGCTAGAAGACCTTCAAGGTCCCAACTCTCTTATATTCTATTCTATTCTATTCTATTCTATTCTATGCTATGCTATGCTATGCTATGCTATGCTATGCTATGCTATGCTATGCTATGCTATTCCATATTCTATTCTATTCTATTCTATTCTATTCTATTTATTCCATATTCTATTCTATTCTATTCCATATTCTATGCTATGCTATGCTATGCTATGCTATGCTATGCTATGCTATTCCATATTCTATTCTATTCTATTCTATTCTATTCTATTTATTCCATATTCTATTCTATTCTATTCCATATTCTATGCTATGCTATGCTATGCTATGCTATGCTATGCTATGCTATGCTATGCTATGCTATTCCATATTCTATTCCATTCCATTCCATTCCAGTCTATTCTATTCTATTCTATTCTATTCTATTCTATTCTATTCTATTCTATTCTATTCTATTCTATTCTATTTATTCCATATTCTATTCTATTCTATTCTATTCCATATTCTATTCTGTTCTATTCTATTTATTCCATATTCTGTTCTATTCTATGCTATGTTATGCTATGCTATGCTATGCTATTCCATCCAGTCTATTCTATTCTATTTATTCCATATTCTATTCTATTCTATTCTATTCCATTCCATTCCAATCTATTCTATTCTATTTATTCCATATTCTGTTCTATTCTATGCTATGTTATGCTATGCTATGCTATGCTATTCCATCCAGTCTATTCTATTCTATTTATTCCATATTCTATTCTATTCTATTCTATTCTATTCCATTCCATTCCAATCTATTCTATTCTATTTATTCCATATTCTATTCTATGCTATGCTATGCTATGCTATGCAATGCTATGCTATTTCTATTCCATATTCTATTCCATTCCAGTCTATTCTATTCTATTTATTCCATATTCTATTCTATTCCATATTCTATTCTATTCTATTCTATTCTATTCTATTCCATTCCATTCCATTCCATTCCATATTCCATTCCATTCCATTCCATTCTATTCTTCCATTCCTATTTCTATTCTATTCTATTTATTCCATATTCCATTCCATTCCATTCCATTCCATTCTTCTTTTACATCATTTTTTTAAATTCCTGCCAATCCTTCTTCCACTTTTTGAAAGCAGCCAAGCTATTGGCAACCGATTACAATCCTCTTCTTGCCAATTTCTTCAAAACATTTTCTGCAATAAATCTGGTGATTTATTCAAACACAGGGCAGATTACTGCAAAGGACACAGAGAGGCACGTAGAATAAGTTTTAAAGTTTTTTTAAAAAAATTAAAAGACGTCCCGGAAAATAGCAAATCAGACAAAGTTTTTTTAAAAAAATAAAAGACATCCTGGAAAAAACCCAACATGAAATCCTGCCTAAAATACTTGCATGGATGAATCCACGTGGTGGGCAAGCAATACAAGTAGTCCTCGAATTACAACCGGTAATGGATCCTACCCATCAGAGTTGTGAGTCGTGACGGTTGTAAATCAGGTCGCCCGTGGGTGACTGCAAAAATTTTAGACCTTTTTTTACTGCAGCCGTTAAGTGAATGTGACCGTCGTTAAGCGAGCCAATGGTTCGCTATGGGCTGGTTTTGCCGAAAACCAGAAAACCATCGTAAAAGGCAGTCATGTGACCGTATGACACGGCAAACGATCATGAATGTGGGTCGGTTGCTGAGCATCCAAAATGGGACGCAACCTTCAGAAAAGCAGTAGCTGTCAGAACTTTGAAACCATGTTGTAAGTATGTCCCAAAAGTGCTTTTTCAACTGGACTCTTGTTTTTTCTTTGAAGACATTTCGCTTCTCATCCAAGAAGCTTCTTCAGCTTTGACTGGATGGTGGGGAAGGGAAGGATTTATACTCCTTGCAGACAGCTGGTCATTTGCATCCTTTTGGAGAGTCGCTCAGGCCACCTGGAGGCTTACCTGTGTCCTCAGGGTCACCTGAGTGGTGCAAATGGGTGTGGAGCTTTCTTGGCTGCAGGATGTCTTCTGCCCTGGGTCCCTTCACTGTGGAAGACAGGCACAGGCTGTTGGGGAGGAGTCTTTGTGGACACAAACATCCAAGTGGCCTCAACGACTCTCTAAAAGGATGCAAATGAGCGGCTGTCTGCAAGGAGTATAAATCCTTCCCTTCCCCACCATCCAGTCAGAGCTGAGGAAGCTTCTGGGAGGAGAAGCAGAACGTCTTCAAAGAAAAACAAAGAAGTCCAGTTGAAAAACACCTTTGGGACAACTATGACCTAGATGACTGTGAATCTCCATGGACATAAGTACATCCTAGGACAGGGGCTCTTTTATGACTCGTGGACTTCAACTCAACTCCCAGAATTCCTGAGCCAGCCATGCTGAGGGGAAAGGGAGAGGTTTTCCAAGCTGAGCCATGCTGGCTCAGGAATTCTGGAGTTGAAGTCCACGAGTCATAAAAGAGCCAAGGTGGCCTACCCCTGACCTAGATGATAGATAGATAGATAGATAGATAGATAGATAGATAGATAGATAGACAGACAGACAGACAGACAGACAGACAGACCTAGACCAGGGGCAGGCCACCTTGGCTCTTTTATGACTCGTGGACTTCAACTCCCAGAATTCCTCAGCCAGCGTTTCTTTGGAGAAATGGAGAGGTTTCCAAGCTGAGCCATGCTGGCTCAGGAATTCTGGGAGTTAAAGTCCAGGACTCATAAAAGAGTCAAGGTTGCCTACTCCAACCTAGATGATAGATAGATAGATAGATAGATAGATAGATAGATAGATAGATAGATAGATAGATAGATAGATAGATAGATAGATAGATAGATAGATAGATAGATAGATAGACAGACAGACAGACAGACAGACAGACAGACCAGGGGTAGGCCACCTTGGCTCTTTTATGACTGGTGGACTTCAACTCCCAGAATTCCTGAGCCAGCCATGCTGAGGGGAAAGGGAGAGGTTTCCAAGATGAGCCATGCTGCCCCAGGAATTCTGGGAGTTGAAGTCCACGAGTCAAAAAAGAGCCATTGCCTATCCCTGGCCTAGGAGGTCTTTTGTAACTGTAACAGTTGCTATGTGACTGGTCATAATTCGAGCACTGTCTACAAGCCCAAGTCCAGGATGTTTTTAGTTAAACCAAGAATACAGGTAGTCCTCAACATACGGCCACAACTGCATCCCAAATTTCCGTTGCTAAGCCAAACAGTTGTTAAGTGAATTTTGCCCCATCTAACAAACTCTCTTGCCACCGTTGTTAAGTGGATCCCTGCACCTGTTAAGTGAAGTGAAGGGAATCTCGCTTTCCCATTGAGTTGGCTTGTCAGGTCACAAAAGGGGACACGTCACACACACACACACACACACACACACACACACACACACACACAGGAACACTGCAAACGTCACAATTATGAGTCAGTTGTCAAGTGTCTGAATTTTGACCACGTGATCATGGATTTGCTGCAATGGTCATAAGTGAGAAATGGTCATAAGTCACATTTTTTTCAGTGCCGTTGTAACTTCAAAGGGTCACTAAATGAACTGTTGTAAATCGAGGACTACTTGTATAGGTAATTCTCAGCTAGGGAATTCTGGGAGTTAAAGTCCACAAGTCTTAAGGTGATCTAACCTATCAATAACAAGGAGCTTCCAAAGCCCCAAGGAGAAGAAGTCGAGAGAAATTCAAGATAGCAGCCACACAACTGGAGCCACGTCCCTTCTGATACATGCCATGCCCTCTGAAGACCCCCGGTGCCATCTATGGAGCCTTTGCGCATCCATCTCTTACCTGCAACAGCTTGCTGACACACTGGGGATGGCCGTGTTTTGCCGAGAGATGCAATGCGGTATGACCTACGGTGGAGAACATCAGAACAGGAAAAACATTAGAATAGAATAGAATAGAATAGAATAGAATAGAATAGAATAGAATAGAATAGAATAGAATAGAATAGAATAGAATAGAATAGAATAGAATAGAATAGAAAATGGAATGGAATGGAATGGAATAGAATAGAATAGAATAAGATAGGATAGGATATAGAATATAGAATATAGAATATAGAATATAGAATATAGAATATAGAATATAGAATATAGAATATAGAATATAGAATATAGAATATAGAATATAGAATAGGACAGGACAGGACAGGACAGGATAGGATAGGATAGGATAGAAAATGGAATGGAATAGAATAAGATAGGATAGGATAGGATGTAGAATATAGAATATAGAATATAGAATAGAATAGAATAGAATAGAATAGAATAGAATAGAATAGAATAGAATAGAATAGAATAGAATAGAATAGAATAAGATAGGATAGGCTAGGATATAGAATATAGGATATAGGATATAGGATATAGGATATAGGATAGGATAGGATAGGATAGGATAGGATAGGATAGGATAGGATAGGATAGGATAGGATAGAAAATGGAATGGAATAGAAAATGGAATGGAATAGAAAATGGAATGGAATGGAATATAATAAGATAGGATAGGATAGGATGTAGAATGTAAAATGTAGAATGTAGAATGTAGAATAGAATAGAATAGAATAGAATAGAATAGAATAGAATAGAATAGAATAGAATAGAATAGAATATATGGAATGGAATGGAATGGAATGGAACGGAACGGAACAGAACAGAACAACAGAACAGAACAGAATACGAAGTTGGAAGGGGCCGTGGAGGTCATCTCACCTGAACCGTCGGTGGTCAGAGCGTCCGCCCCGTGGGCCAGCATCACCTCCAAGCAGCCCACGTTTCCCTTCGTGGCACACAGGTGAAAGCTGCAAGAGGAAAATGAACTCCTGGGGACCGGCGATAGCCAGGGGGGACCCCATGAGGGCAGTCCTCGACTTACGACCACAGGGGAGCCCAACGTTCCTGTTGCTAAGCGTGACATTG